CACTAAAGAACTTACGTAACCAAATACCACCTATACTCCAATAACTTACAGAAAAAATTTTTTAAAATAAAAATTTTTAAAAAGCTCCAAGACAAGTCAGAGAGAAGGCATAGTACTCAGTGTGGTCATAAGAAAACCCTTAGAAGTTTCCATGGGATGTGGGTAAACTGCATGTACCTAAAAATAGTATCCCAACAAGTAATCCTAAGAAAGTTCTAATTAGATAGGCAGCCATCAAAAGACAGAAACATGTTCTGCAATAGCTCTCATTCACTCTAGTTTGTGTATTACTTATAACCATCTATCTCCATGATTCCTGGAGACACTGAAGTTCCCCTCATCCATTAATTTATTTATCAGGATAACAATTAGATACCTGCCATGTACCAGAACAATACCTTCTAGCCTGTGAATAGATAGCCATGAGCAAAACAGCTAAAATTTCTCCTCTTAGATATCACATTCCTGGGGGTAAAGGTGACAGGTAAACAGAAATACATAAAACACAGTGCAAGACAGCACAAGAAGAAAAAAATAGAACTGTGTTTTGTTTGATTTTTTGAGACAGAGTCTCACTTTGTCACCAAGGCTAGAGTGCGGTGGAGCCATCTCGGCTCGCTGCAACCTCCACCTCCTGGGTTCAAGTGATTCTCCTGCCTCAGCCTCCCGAGTAGCTGAGACTACAGGCACACGCTACCACAGCTGGCTAATTCTGTATTTTTAGTAGAGATGGGATTTCACCATGTTGGCCAGGCTGGTCTTGAATTCCTGACCTCAGTGATCCACTTGCCTTGATCTCTGAAAGTAGTGGGATTATGGGCGTGAGCTACATAATCCCTGGTGCCTGGCCTAGAACAGTATTTTAAATACAGTAGCTGGAAGTGGCCTCTCTAAAACTGAACAGAGACTTGAATATACTTAAAGAAGAAGCCAGAAAGTTTTGAGGTGAAAGAGTATTCTGATCAGAGAGAAGAGCAAGTAAGGGCTCTCGAGGCAGAAGCTTCAGTAGTAGACAGAACAATGATTCATAAAAGATGTCCACATCCAGTACCCAAGACCTACAAACATGTTATATTACACAGCAAGGGGGACTGGGATTGCAGATGCAATTAAGGTCACTAATCAGCTAACTAGAAAGTGAGGTCATTGTGGATCATCCAGGGGTAACCAACACAATCATAAGGAACCTGAAAGGCAGGAGACGGAGGCATAAGAAGAGTGGCAGAGTGAGCATGACTATGGAAGAAGGATCAGAAATGCAAAGTAGCTGCCTTTGAAGATGGAGGAAGGGAAACAAGAGCCAAGGAGTGCCTAGAGACTGGTAAACCAAAATAAAGGCTTCTCCCCAAGAGCATCCAGGAAGAAACAAACACCTACAGACACCTTGATAATTATCCAGTGAGATGTGTCAGACTTCAGGCCTAAAGAACAGAAAGATAATAAATTTTTTGTTGCTTAGTCGAGTAAATGTGTGGTCATTGGTTACTACAACAGGCAATACAGTGTCTTTGGCAGGTTGGAGAAACAGTATGAAGGACAGTGTGGCTGGAAAGACAAGGCAAAAGGGAGAGGACAAGAGATGTAGTCAGAGAGGTGGTGGGGGATGAACAGCATATCACATGGTCTCTAAAGGGCACTTAAAACACTTGTAACTTAAGTAAACATAAGCAGCCAGAAAGGCTTTTGAACCGAGGAATGGAAATCTGACTTACATTTCCTAAGGAACACATTGGCTGCCATGTGGAAAACAGATGTCAGGGTGGGAAAAGTGGGAGCAGGGCAACCAGCCGAAAGTTGGCTATAATAATTCAGGAAAGAAGTTTGGCTATTTAGACTAGGGCAACAGAGCTGGGAAACAGACAGAAGTAAAACAGACGGGAGAGTCATGCACAAGGACACACAGTTGCTTGCTTCTTACCTAAATTCCCTTCTCTTTGGGTTACTGTCTCCATCATCCAAAACTTTTCTTCCTTTAGGAAGTGGAAAGTATCTCTGTGGAGTGGTTGATGCCCTGTGAACATGAAAAGTCATGTGCTTAATGCTAATACATCCTAGAAAAAAATCGAATAAGTAAAATTTACTAGAAACTTAGGTTCCCAATGCATACTCAAACTTGAACACTCCAAGATACAAAGCCACTCCTGGTCCTGACGTTCCCTTACAAAGAGCGCCTGTCCTCACCTACTGAGAGCAGGTTCCTGAAGTTCTCCAGCATCACTTCTCGGTACAGTTTCCTCTGGGCAAGGTCCAGCAGCCTCAGCTCTTCCTCACTGAAGACCACAGCCACATCCTTGAAAGTCACTACCTCCTACAGCATCAAACATATGCAACCTCAGTCTCATGACCAATGACTACTGAGAGAGGGGTGGAACAGAGCAAACATAGGGGAGGGAAGACAAGCTGTTTTGGATCTTGACAAACATAGGTCAACACATAGATTTCCTTTTTTATTTTTTATTTATTTATTTATTTATTTATTTTTGAGACAGTCTTGCTCTGTTGCCCAGGATGGAGTGCAGTGGCGTGATCTTGGCTCACTGCAACCTCCGCCTCTTGGGTTCAAGTGATCCTCCCACTTCAGCCTCCTAAGTAGCTGGAATTACAGGTGCCCACCACCATACCTGGCTAATTTTTGTATTTTTAGTAGAGATGGGGTTTCACCACATTGGCCAGGCTGGTCTCAAACTCCTGACCTCAGGTGATCCACCTGCCTTGGCCTCCCAAAGTGCTGGGATTACAGACATGAGCCACTGCGCCCAGCCAACTCATAGATTTTCTGCTCATTCTATCTGTATCCTGACAATGATGGATTTTCTTGAGCTCCACCAGAAGTTCAATGATGGAAAAGACCTCCTGTAGGTTTACTTTGTGCACTTACTGAGTCTCCTTGTAAGTAACCCTGTAGGACTCTAAATGCAACATCCTGGGATGCACATATATAGGTTTCAATGAATCTTGCCAACTGCCCCAGTAACATTTAGCAATTCAGTCCCAGTCTTGTCTGATAATTCCCATTGTTCTCATACTTGAACCCTGAATGTTATAATTTTTCTTTAATATCTGCCACCAAACGAACAAGCTTGTGGTATCCTGTGTGGGACAGCTATGCAGTACATCCTCTGTACTCTCAAGGCATAAACTACATACATTAATTGCAGCATTGATCTATGATCTGCAGACAGTGTGCCTAGGAGCACATCCCAAGGCTCTGTGCCTTCCTGGTCACATGACCTTGGACCAGTTCACCTATTTATTCCCTCTCTAACAATTTTCATATTGTAGTTTTTTCAGTGATTAAACAAGGAAATACATGGAGCATTGGGAAAGTTGATCAGTACAGACTAAATACCTAATAAACACTAGCTTTTTAAAATTATTTTTTATTATTACTGTCATTGTTGCCATCCATTTTATCTCATTTCATGTCTGCACAGTATTCCAAAGAATTGATTATCTATTTTTATCTACTCTAAATAATCTTTAGGCCGGGCGCGGTGGCTCAAGCCTGTAATCCCAGCACTTTGGGAGGACAAGACGGGTGGATCACGAGGTCAGGAGATCGAGACCATCCTGGCTAACACAGTGAAACTCCGTCTCTACTAAAAAATACAAAATACTAGCCGGGCGAGGTGGCGGGCGCCTGTAGTCCCAGCTACTCGGGAGGCCGAGGCAGGAGAATGGCGTAAACCCGGGAGGCGGAGCTTGCAGTGAGCTGAGATCCAGCCACTGCACTCCAGCCTGGGCGACAGAGCAAGACTCCGTCTCAAAAAAAAAAAAAAAAAAAAAAATCTTTAATTTTATATATGCTTATTAATACCAATACTGTAAAAAAAATTTTGGGTAGATTTTGCTCCTGTTTATTTAAAATAATTTTAAATGAAAATTAAAATGTCAATAAATAGGCATATTTAAAATTGTGATCATATAATATCAGGTCTCAATTTTTTACCAAACTCTGATCTTTCAAGAGGATACATGTACACTGATTTGTCTTACCATAACCAAGAGCAGGTTATCAATTTTCCCATGATTTTTATAATCATATTAGGAAGAATTTAACAGTTTCACTTATTTGATTATAAATAATACCATCGCCTTTTCAAATATTTATTGGCCATCTCAATTTCTTCTTTTAAACTTACCTGTTAATGCCCTTTATTCATATTCCTTTGGATTTTCTTTTTCTATTCTGTACGTAAGATTCTTATGTTGGATTTTATCTTTTTTAGATATACAAGTAGTGAATATTTTCGCTCTAGGCTGTTATATTTTCTGATAACATTGTGTGCGGTATCCTTTACCATACTGAAAGTAAAGATTTTCTATCATGACTATGGTTATCACTGTCTTTGAGTGCCTGGAGCACTGGGTCCATCTGAGTAGGTGTCAAGTCAGGAAGAAAGGTCACCCCGAAATGGTGCCTGGAAGGAGCAGTGCCACGTGTGGATGCTGGCTCTCAGGTTGGCACAACACAACAGGCTATAACTGCTTAACTGCAGCTTCACACAAGGATTATTGGAGGTGTTTACACAGGAGGAGCTAGATTCTGTTTCTCCCATGCTATATCTCTGTTGTACTCCCTAAGTCTTCCCAAGACTGAGAAGAACATCTGAGAATACGAGTAGTCAGATGAAATACGGTCAGGCACGGTGGCTCACACCTGCAATCCCAGCACTTTGGGAGGCTGAGATGGGTGCATCACCTGAGGTCAGGAGTTTGAGACCAGCCTGGCCAAGATGGTGAAACACCGTCTCTACGAAAAATACAAAAATTAGCCAGGTGTGGTGGTGTGTGCCTGTACTCCCAGCTACTCGGGAGGCTGAAGCAGGAGAATTACTTGAACTCGGGAGGCAGAGATTGCAATGAGCCAAAATCAGGCCACTGCACTCCATCTTTGGTGACAGAACAAGACTCCATCTCAAAAATAAAAAAGAAATTTTAACAGCAAGAGAAGCAAGCTGTATTCACCTTCAACGTGTTCATTTTTCCTCCTATTTCAGGGAATATTCAGAGTCCTGAGTGATGCAGTCCGAGGGAAAGCAGAATCCTGCCTGGAAAGTACCAGGGAAAGCAGAGAAAGAGACATGAAAGTGTGGCCAGGGATGCCGTCCGCCAACACGAATGTGTATTGTAAATGAACACATGAATGTTCACAACAGCATCATTCATAGTAACCCAAAACTGCACACCAACAAATGCCCTCCTATGAGTACAGGGATAGACAAATTGTGGCCTATTCTTACAATGGAATCTTATTTGGAAATTAAAAGGAATGAAGTACTGTTCATGCTACACCACACATGAACTTTGGAAACATTATGCTAAGTAAAAGAAGCCAGTCACATAGGAAGGCCCACATATTGCATGATCTATTTCTATGAAGTTCCAGAGTAGGCAAGTGTATATAATGAGAAAGTAGGTAGGTGATCTCTGCATATTTGAGGTGAGAAAGAGGATTAACTATAAGTGGGCATAAGGAGTCTTAATGGGGGATGAAAATGATTTAAACTGAATTATGGTGATGTTTATTCCACTCCACAAAGTTCCTAAAAATCATTAAAGTGTCAAGCGTGGTGGCTCACACCTGTAATCCCAGCACTTTGGGAGGCCAAGGCAGGCAGATCACGAGGTCAGGAGATCAAGACCATCCTGGGTAACACGGTGAAACCCCGTCTCTACTAAAAATACAAAAAATTAGCCAGGTGTGGTGGCGGGTGCCTGTAGTCCCAGCTACTTCAGAGGCTGAGGCAGGAGAATGGCATGAACCCGGGAGGCGGAGCTTGCAGTGAGCCAAGATCGCGCCGCTGCACTCCAGCCTGGGTGACAGAGCGAGACTGTCTCAAAAAAAAAAAAAAAATCATTAAAGTGTACACATGAAATAGGTAGATTCTATGATATATAGAATACACCTCAATAAAATTGGACAAAGTATTGGTAATTGTTAATCCACATGTCATTTAACTTAATAAGACTGGATTCTGCATCCACACTAATAGAATATTTATAGTTGAACGAATGAATAAGCAAATGAAGGAGGAGGGGAAGCTCACCTTTACAGGAGAATGTGCACTAATAAATGTATTTCTCCTTAAAAATTTTTATTTAACTAAAAAATTAGGGAGTGTATATTGAGAGCAACTTGAATCTGTATTCCTGGGGTTAAAAAAAAAATTCAAAATAATAACTTTACAATGCAGAAATCTGACAAACATGACTTTGGCCAAGTGAAAAAAGTTGAGATCACCAATGAAGTGACAAACTGACATATGCCCCTATTATGTTGCAATAAGAAATTTACCACTTCAGGCTGGGCACGGTGGCTCATGCCTGTAATTCCAGCACTTTGGGAGGCAGAGGCGGTTGAATTACCTGAGGTCAGGAGTCTGAGACCAGTCTGGCCAACATGGTGAAATCCCGTCTCTACTAAAAATACTAAAATTAGCTGGGTGTGGTGGCAGGCACCTGTAATCCCAGCTACTTCGAAGGCTGAGGCAGGAGAATAGCTTGAACCCGGGAGGTGGAGGTTGCAGTCAGCTGAGATCGTGCCATGCACTCCAGCCTGGGCGACAAGAGCGAAACTCCGTCTCAAGGAAAAAAAGAGAGAGAGAGATTTACCACATCTGTGGTATTCCCGCAAAAAAAGACGCATATATCGAAGTTAAACATGAAATACATCAGAAAACTCAAAATGAACATCTTTGACCCAAATAACTTCATCTATACTCTTCAAAAATAACAAGGATAAAATATCAAGAAAAAAAGATGAAAGCTATGCTATTTTTCGAGATTAAAGACTAGAAAAACCTGACAACTGAAAGCAACACCCATGCCCTAAGACACATTCTATACACACTCGGTTGGGGTGAGCATCTCTGTCAAAGAAAAAAGCCAAGGATCACTCACGTAGAGCTTTGCCGTCAGAAGCCAAAAAGTCCTTCCCTGCAGCTCTTTTGGAAAGGTAGGGCTGGGTAAGGAGAAGGCTGTGAAACACCCTGACCGTGGTCGCCGTGCGCCATAAAAGTTAAATGCGCCTCTTCCTTCATGGAAGTGGACGCAACCCTCGCTTTCCTAAAAAAGGTCAGAAGGCGTCCAGAATCATCCAGCGTCCTGCAGGGATCAGGGAGAAGGGCCGGTGCCCCTGCAGCTGGAGCTCTCACCCCACCCGGGGACCGGCTTTGTGGGAAATTAACAAGAGACCACCAGTCACCAAGTGACAGGGGTTGCTTTAAGGCTCTCATTTGTGTTACCTCTTCCAGTTCCCAAAACGATTCTATTAGGATGTTCCTAAAGTCCCCATCTTAAAGAACAGTAACGGTAGGACCCAAGGAGATTAACATCCTAACGTTTTATCGCGAGGACGTGGCCACGCGCGTGGGGTGCAGGGAGGCGGAGTGGGCGAGCTCAGAGCCCCGGAAACCCTAAAACCTGGCGAGACGCAACCCGACAAAGTCCCAAACACCCCGGGGACGCGAGGACAGCCCCAAGCCCAAGAAGGCTCCACTGACTAGAACGAAAACAGCAGCCCTCGCCCCGCCAAACCTCTGCTGTCCGACGGGGTTTCTTTTCCCCTAATTCGATCACCAGTTGGTTGAGGATCCAATGCGTAGGTCCAGGAAATTCAGAAGGGTCCGGCGGAACTGACCCAAACCACCAGGGACAAAACTGCAGCAACCTTACAGTCCCGGAGCGGAAGTGCCCTCTACTCCACAGAGCGTCTGGACTCCACTTCCCAGAATTCCTGAGCCAAACTGACCGCGGCGACCCCGAGCGTCTGCACTACACTTCCCAGAATTCCCTGGGATCCGCCTGCCAGAGCCAAATTGACTGCGACTCCCCTGAGCGTCTGGACTACATTTCCCAGAAATCCCGATTCGCCTGCCGGAGCCGAACTGACCGCTACTCCACTGAGCACCTGGACCGCCGTTACCAGAATTGCCTGTGTCCTCCTCCTGGAGCTAGTGTGTGCGACTCCATAGAGCATTTGGATTACACTCCTCCGAATCCCGAAGGAAAAACGCTCAAAATCTCATTCTTCAGGGGGAAGCGTTGCCACTCCGGGGTGCCCACTGGGAACGAATCCCAAACCCACGAGCGCCTGCCTGGTGGGGAATGTGAACTGTTATCCTGAGAATCGTCCTTCTCTCTCCCTGGTTCAGGACAGAAAATATTGAATAGACGGGAATTCCTGAAGTCTAAACGCCTCCAACGATAAGAGGAGTGTTATTGGAAAGGGAAGAAGCGAGAAGACGCAATCTTCGAGGAGTTAAGTTTTGCTAATCTAATGGTAAGAAGTGGTATTTAAATGTAGTTTTAATTTGTATTTGTTCTTTTGTAAATAAAGTGGAGCATCCTTGCATATTTTCCGTTGCCATTATTATAGTGTTTGTGAATTGGTCAAATGTTTTGCCCACATTTCTATTGAGTGTTTAGTCTTTTTCCCTCCGTTAAGTATTATTTACAGATTCATACTAACATTGTATCAAATATTGCTCAACCAAAAAGCTTTTCCTTTGACTTCTGTTTTTCGCTATGCAGAACGTTTTTAACATAGTCGTTTTATTATTTAAAAAACATTTTTGAGGTGTAATTCACAAAACAAAACTATTTTAAGGCACGTAATTCAATGGCAATGGCATCTAGTACAAATAGAGTGTTGTTGATGTAGGAGTTAAGAAGCAATCACTTAGGCAGATAGGGTATGGGAGCCCTCGGTAAGGCTTTTCTGTTTAATGAAAAACAGCCTCAAATTATTTCCCTTCCTAAGGAAGAGCAGCCTGTAAAATGGAGCTGCCGCAGACATAGATACCGCCAGTTGTGCCAATCATGTTCAAGATGGCGGCTCCATCTTCCCTTCTCTTTGCCAGCCACGTGCACAGTAAGGAGTAGACAAGATGGGCGAATCAACTGGGAAGTCTGTTTGCATAAAAAGATTAGGGTGGGGCGACCAGCCTTCCCCAGGCACTACGTAAACGTCATAACTGATCGAACCAATCTGTGACGCCTATGTAAATCTGACAGTGCCTCCTCAAACTGGACTGTAAAACTCAGCACATTCGCTGCCAGCCGACCCTCTTCCGCTCCGAGACCCCTTCCTCTATAGAGTAACCCATTTCTCTTTCTCTTCTCCCTATTAAACCTCCGCGCCTAAACTCCTCTTGTGTGTCCCTGTCCTAAATTTTCCTGGCACTTAACGACGAACCCCGGGTTTATACCTCAGACAACGTAGCTGCTTCATTGTGAAACCACCACCTCTTGAATTCCAAAACATTTTTATCACCCAAAGAAAACCCCATGCCCACTAAGCAAATCACTACTGTTGTCCATAATCCCACTCCTGGTGAAACATTAATCTTTCTGTCCTTTCTATTACCTGTTTTGGACAAATCATAAAAATGAATGGAAGCTTTTGTTTCTAACTCCCTTTGCTTAGCATAATATTTTTAATGTTATTCACATCATATCACATATCAGTACTTCATTCCTTTTCATAGATGAATAATATTTTATGTTTATACTACAATTTGTTTCTGCATTCATACGTTGATGCACATTTGGCTTCTTTTCACCTTTTGGCTGTAGTGAACAGCGTTACTACAAATGTTCATGTACACGTATTTGTTTCATTACCAGCTTTCAGTTTTTTGTTTGGTTTTGTTATTTTTTGAGACGTTGTTTCGCCTCCGGCTTTCCAGCAATTCTCCTGCCTCAGCCTCCTGCGTAGGATTACAAGCATGCACCACCACGCCCGGCTAATTTTGTATTTTTAGTAGAGACGGGGTTTCTCCATGTTGGTCAGGCTGGTCTCGAACTCCCGACCACAGGTGATTGGCCCGCCTCGGCTTCCCAAAGTGGTGGGATTACAGGCGTGAGCCACCGTGCCCAACTGTGTATTCCACTTCTTTCTGCTGCTGAGATAATAATTTCAGATGACTTATCTTTATATTCACTCATTCTGAAGATAATATAGCAAGAGTAGGGAGATGAATATTAGGTGCACTTACCTATGGCTTCAGAGCCTGCACAAACAATCTCATATACACCACTTCCAAATGGAATACTAATCTGCACATGTAACTTAAAGAGATGCAGGGGTCGACACCCAGTTCATGATGGAAAGCATAAGTCACATGTTAATTTTGTGGTCTGTGGTCAAGTGTTCTGTCCCTTTTAAGACCCCTAGTGGCCGGGGGTGGTGGTTTACGCCTGTAATCCCAGCACTTTGGGAGGCCAAGCGGGTGGATCATGAGGTCAGGAGTTTGAGGCCAGCCTGCCCAAGATGGTGAAACCCCATCTCTACTAAAAATACAAAAATCAGCCAGGCGCGGTGGCGGGCGCCTATAATCCTAGCTACTCAAGAGGCTGAGGCAGGAGCATCACTTGAACCTGGGAGGCGGAGGTTGCAGTGAGCCAAGATTGTGCCACTGCATTCTAGCTTGGGCCACAGAGCAAGACTCTGTCAAAAAACAACAACAACAACAACAAAAAACCCTAGCAAAATGAAAAGCTTCTTCTCAAGAGGAGAGTAAATATATGCAGAGGATGGCAGAGATTTGCTTCAAAATCCTAAGCATCTGAATTTTGATTCTCCAATTAGGGCCAGCCATAGGCTTCAAACGTCACTATCTGCCACTGACATTTCAAACACTTTTGGACCTCCGGGATCATAGGGTTTTAGTGGCAGAGAAGCTTACGTGGCAGCTGGGACATATTATACAAACTTGTCTGGGACAAGTCAAAAAGTTTTTAGGTCACTCATAAAAGTCAGAGAGCACAATCAAAACAATAAGTTGCATCCAATATCAAAAGTGGTACACTAAGCATCGTGACACTTTTCTTTGCTTGTAGCGGGGGTGATATGCCCTACTTGTCCTATACCTTAGAAAAGATATCACTTTAACTTAACACACTTAAGATATTACTGTGGTGTATACCTGATGAGTTAGCATCTGACAATAGTTTGAATATGTATCCCCTCCAAATCTCATGTTGAAATATGACCTCCAGTGTTGGAGGTGGGGACTATTGGAAGGTGCTTGGTCATGGAGGCAGATCCTTCATGAACACTGGTGTCCCCACCAAGGTAATGAGTGAGTTCACACTATTAATTCACACAAGAGCTGGTTGTTTAAAAAGATCATGGCATAAAAAAATTAAAAATGCATGGAAGTACAAAATGGAAAAATGCCTGCAAATCCTCATTGCCAGCAAAGATCAGTAAAAATATTCATTTATACAGTATGTAAACACTTAAAAGAACATAAAACACACAAAGATATTTATTTGATTAGGTTATGAAGGCTAAAAAAAGCCACATTTTCTCCTTTTGTTATTGTGTCTATGTCATCATCTCATTGATTTCATGTTATTATAGGAATAAATGCAATTCACACAAATTCCTGTTCTTGAACACTTGTTCTTTCCATTTTAAAATGGAGTGACATCAATGTGGTCTTCTACTTTTTGGAGTTTTAGTGTCATAGGCATAATTTCCTAACCTATGGTTTTCATATCAAACAGTTGCACCTTATACATTCTGACATGTTCTGCTCTCCAAAAGACATGTTTTTACTGCCAGCAATAAAGAGGAGGATTTAAGTGTTATTCCTGCCCCAATAATGAATATATTTGATGAAATTACCAAACTCCATTAAGTTTCTCTTCCTGTTTCATAGGGTTGGTGGAAGAATATTGGATAAGAAAGTTGACAAAAGTTGTCCTTCAAATTTAGAATATTTTATACCAGAAAAAAAAAAGAAGTTGTACAGCAATTAAAAGGCAATCATACCAAGGCCTGCATAGAAATCACAAATCATGATCAATCTAGGATTGACTAAGAAAATTTCTGTCAATGTACATCTGGCACTTTAAAAGTGTTACTGTAAATCTTGCCTTAATACTGTTGAGAACACTTAATTGTAAAATATGCAGTGGCCTGTCACTGCAAAATTAACCAAACCTTTTCAGTCTATACTGTGAGAAAAACTACAAAAGACGGTTAAATTTATGCCGTATAAAGCAATGAACATTTGATAGAGGCACAAATAATAATCCAACTTAAGAACACAGGATGGGGGGAAGTCAGGAGCCAAGTGCAATAAAATAATATTCAATGAATATTATAAATCTGATCAAGAAAAAAATTAAAAGGAAAAAATAATAACATTCAAAATATTGCTATGGATTGCAGTACTGAGTTTACTCTGCATTTCAACTCATGTTTCCCAGAATTATTTTTTGCAGGCTTCCCTTTTTGGATACATAAAATTGTATCCAAATCCATACATATGTTTTATCCTTTCATGATTTGACAAACAAGTACTGAACACATACCAAGTGCTAATCAATGTTAAGGCTGTGACGATTTAGCAGTAAAGAAAGACACATGTAGCTTACATTCTAGCGGACGTCAATTTTGGCATGTCCACCGTTAGAGTTCAGCAAATTCATGAACTCTTACTCTTTCTAAGGCCTGTCTCCTGAATGATAGCTGTAATTATCAAACTTCTGAATGAAGCTTTATTGCACCATTTACAAGGATTCTCCACTATAGTGGTCCTGAGACTACTGGGGCATGCTGAGTTATGGTTGAAGCACTGATGTTATCTTAAACAAAGGTTTTACCTCTTCCAAGAATGGGTGAAATTTATCATCAGCATGGATTCAGAGATAAAGTACTCAAAGGGAAGTGCTTACTATGTGCCTCATATTTTAATGTTTCTCTCCTTTGTGAACTTTCAGATGAGATTGCATTCATGAAGACTGAGTGAAGACTTTATCGCACCATCACATCACTAAGGTTTTTCTCCAACATGAACGTTCTGATGAAGCTGAAGACTTGAGGCCCGACTAAAGCACATATCACACTCCTGACACTTCCATGTTTTCTCTCCCACGTGGACCCTCTGATGCACCTCAAGATTCAAGCGCCTGTTGTAGCCCTTCCCACAGTCCTCACATTTGTATGGCTTTTCTACACTGTGAACTTTTTCTAGGACTTTAGAGAATGAATTCCGTACAATGTTCTTCCCATGCTCCTCACATTTGAGAGGTGTTTCCCTGCTGTGGCGTCTCTGATGGGTCAGACGAGTTGAGGACCATCTGAAGCCCTTCCCACACTCATCACATTTGTATGGCTTTTCTCCAGTGTGCACTCTTTGATGAGAATGAAGCTGTGAATTCTGAGTAAATCTTTTCCCACACTCTTCACATTTGAATGGTTTTTCTCCACTGTGCAGTCTCTGATGTTTCAAAAGACACGAGGCCCAGCCAAAACTCTTCCCACATTCTTTACAATTATATGGTCTCTCTCCTGTGTGGACCTTCTGGTGCATATCAAGATTAAACTTACTGTTGTAGCCCTTTCCACACTTCTCACATTTGTATGGCTTTTCTCCAGTGTGGACTCTCTGATGGGAATGAAGATGTGAATTTTGAGTAAACCTCTTCCCACACTCTTCACATTGGAATGGTTTTTCTCCACTGTGGAGTCTCTCATGTTTCAAAAGACATGGGGCCCGACTAAAGCTCTTCCCACATTCCTTACAATTATACAGTTTCTCTCCTGTATGGACGCGCTGGTGAAAGTCAAGATCCAACCTCCTTTTGTAGCCCTTCCCACACTCCACACATTTGTATGGTTTTTCTCCACTATGGGATCTCTGGTGGGAATAACATTGTGAATTTGTATAAAATCCTTTACCACATTCTTCACATTTGAAGGGTTTTTCTCCACTGTGGACTCGCTGATGTTTCAAAAGACACGAGGCCCATCTGAAATTCTTCCCGCAATCTTTACAATTATATGGCTTCTCTCCCGTGTGAACCATATGATGTGTATAAAGATCTCGCCTGCAAATAAAGCCTTTTCCGCACTCCTCACATTTGTATGGTTTCTCTCCTGTGTGGATCATAAGATGACTATTAAGTGCTGATCTCTGACGAAAGCTCCTACCACACGTATCACATTGGAATGGTTTCTCTCCCGTGTGAACCATGGAATGCCTATTAAGTCTTGATCTACCACAGAAGCTCTTACCACATATATCACATTTGAATGGCTTCTCCCCAGTATGGATTCTCTGATGTTCTTGAAGCTGGGAATCGTGAATGAAGGCCTTCCCGCATTCCTCACAATTATAAGGTTTCTCTCCTGTGTGTAATTTATGATGAACATTAAGCGCTGATCTACGACTGAAGCCTTTCCCACATTCCACACATTTGAATGGTTTCTCTCCAGTGTGGACTCTCTGATGAGTTTGCAGACGTGAGCTCTGACTGAATTCCTTACCACACACGTCACACTTGTAGCGTTTCTCTCCCAGGTGGACTCTCTGATGAATACGAAGGGCTGAGATGTAACAGAAGCTTTTTCCACACTCATCACATGTATGAGACATCTCTCCTGAGTGTAATTGTTGATGGAAATCAAAGATGGAGACATCACTGAAGGACTGTTTATATCCATTGCTCTGGGAAGATTTCTGTCTTGTGTGAATTACAGATAGTCCTGCCTCAGACTGGCTGGGGAAATCACCTTCTCTGGAGAACTGAGAGCTATTTATCACCAAGTCTTGAGACCTGGTTAAATCACTTGCAATTTTTTCCCAGATTTGCTGGCAGGACCACTCTTGATCTGTTCCTGCTTCTGAAATAGTCTCCATCTCAGTTTGGATCTTGTCTCCTATCAGAATACAGAATTAAAAGACGAGGACAAGTGAAGCCTTTGTTCAGTGTTATCAAGATTTCACTTAGGCCATGGCATGAAACTCTCAAGAGTACAGGCAACATTCAGTTTTTATTTTTCAAGTGCACCATAATCTCCAGTTTGGATGAGGCCAATTTCGAACTAAACCAAGTATCATATGTAAAATGCTTGGTAGAAATAAAAGACTTACAAAAAACAATAGACGTTGACATGGGTGTGGTGAAAAGAAACACTTATATACTGCTGGTGTGAATGTAAATTAGTACAACCTCTATAAAAAGCAGTATGGAGATTCTCTAAAGAACTAAAAGTGATCTACCATTTGATCCAGCAATCCCACTACTGTCTTCCCAAAGGAAAAAGAAGTCATTACATCAAAAGGACACCTGCACGCCTATATTTATTACAGCACAATTCACATTTTCAAAGATATGGAACCAACCTAAGTGCCTATCAACCAACGAGTGGATAAAGAAAATGTGGTATATATACACCATGGAATACTATTCAGCCATAGGAAAATGAAATAATGTCTTTTGCAGCAACTTGGATGGAGCTGGAGGCCATTATTCTAAGTAAAGTAACTCAGGAATGGAAAACCAAATACCATGTTTTCACTTATAAGTGGGAGCTAAGCTATGGGTATGCAGAGGCATACAGAGTGATATAATGGACTATGGAGACTCAAAATGGGGAGGCTGGAAGGTAGGGTAAGTGATAAAAAGCTACAAGTTGGGTACAGTGTACACTACTCAGGTGATGGGTACACTAAAATCTCAGACTTCACCATTAGACAATTCATCCATGTTACCAAAAACCACTATATCCCAAAAGCTACTGGAAAAAAAAAATTTTAAATAAAATAAAAGACAATAATAAAATTAATATGATACAAACATTATACCTGCTACTCTTCCTAGTGAATTTCCTAATCAGTCTAAAATCTTGCATGGTAAATTATGAAACTAATAAATTATGTATATAATAAAATATGAATCAAAACCAACTTTAAAGAAAAGTAATATAATCAATACTTGGTACATTTGTGTTTATATTGTGTATCCTTACAAAGTAAAGATATTAACCTCACTCAAAATGAGGTCTGGATGTTCTCCTCAGGATCTAAGAGGTAATTTCTAGGAGTTTATGCCTGAGGAGAGTGTCTTTGTTTGCTTGGGGGCAAAACTAGGTCACTGGAAAGTGAAGCAATATGATTTAGGGTTGTGGCTGGCCACGCCTTTGGGGGTTGGTGCCCCCCATGTCACAAAGAGCAATGTGATTTAAGGTGGGGCTTTCGGTTACATGCAATCAGTGGCCCAGGAGACTGACTAGCCACATGGGAATCAATCAACAAATAATGGCTATGTAATGGAGCCTCAAAAATTACTTGTAAAGCCAGGGCTCAGGTGAGCTTTCCTGATTCGCTGTACTCTCTACGTCACACCTTAATTCTAGGAATGTAACGCATCCTACTTTATTGCAAGAATACAAGATCCTCATTTGGTACTTCCCAGAACTGTTCCTTATTTTTCTCTTGGTGAAATGTAATGTGCACCTCTACCCTGTAAATATCCATAACTTTTAGTATAAAAGCATTCAGTGAGTTCTGCTTGCCTTTCTAAGTAATTACTGAATGTGAAGGTAGTTTTGGAAAATCCCCACACTTGCAGTTGGTGTGAAATGAGAATGATCTTCTGTAAACTCTTGCTCTAAACTGTGTAGTCAGTTAAACTCTTCACAATAATATCAAAGGCCTACGAGTGTTTATATCTACATATTCATAATATTCCTATACAAGAATTTTGCATAACATGTATCTTTAATTTTATTTTTCTGTAGATGTGAACAATAATTTGGTTATCTGAAATAGGTAAGAAACAGACAACTGCAGTTTTGATGGGAATCTGAAAGGTTGGACTTGACAGGGGCATACAAAGGGTGATGCTCCTGATGAGACAATGAAAGGTGATGAGAACACTTGGGATAAAAAGAATGCCTGAGGGGTCATGCCCTGGTTGGTTCCATGGGGGAGTATTAGACTCTCATTTAAAAAAAACAAAAAAAAAAAAAAAAACAGAGGCTAGGCGCCGTGGCTCACGTCTGTAATCTCAGCACTTTGAGAGGCCAAGGCAGGCAGATCACTTGAGCCCACGAGTTGGTGACCAGCCTGGTTAACATGGTGAAACCCTGTCTCTACTAAAAATACAAAAATTAGCCAGGTGTGGTGGCGCACATCTATAATCCCAGCTACGTGGGAGGCTGAGGTATAAGAATCATGTGAACCCAGGAGGCGGAGGTTGCAGTGAGCTAAGATCATGCCAATGCCCTCCAGCATGGGGGACAGAGTGAGACCTTGTCTCAAAAAAAAGAAAAAAGAAGAAAAAAGAGGGCAGAAAATATATGACATAGATAAATATGCCTTTATACCTATTTCCAAATGGCATAATATAGACAAGAAGGGAGCTGTGAAATAAATTTAAAACCTTCTAATGAGCATTTAGGAAAAAAGAACTAGAAAAGAAATGATCACATCTTCATGACAAGCAAGAAAGATATCATTTCATGAAATGCCTACTAAAGTAACCCATAAACATCTACATGCATGAAAAATGTTTGTCCTGGTTATGATGAAAGATGTGTTTCTTACTATGACTCACACTCATAAAAATGTTGAAAACGTTGGTCAGGATATTACCAAGTCCTAAATTAAGTCAGTCAAATGGAAAGATAACTTCCAAGGCTGAATCTCGGAAAACAGTAATAGGTAAATGTGTACCCAATGGTACACACTGGAATATGGATATATTTAACACACTGTTACTTAAGAGGTTTTTGGGGAGGAGAGAGTCTCTTTTAGGGTTATGATGTTTTGAGAGGGCAGTTTCCTGATTCCTTCCAAGTTATGAAGTTGAAAATAGAGCACTAGGTCTCTAAAAAATAAAGGAAAAGTTATGTTGTAAAAATCTATATTCTTTTATGTTTTTAACAATTAAATTTGTATACAATGAAGATGCAGAAATATACATATTTTTGAACAAAGACGACCAGAAATGTAGGCAATGTTCAGCTGCGTGAATTGTGTTGCTCTCTTCCTCATCCTTCCCCATCCAGGAGAAGGAGAAACCTGGGGTCAGTGACGTGCATGCAGACTTTGGAAAGGCAAATGGGCTGCAGATGGGTAAATGTCTCAAAGGAAAGCTAGCTGGGAAGCTGGTTATTATCTGTCACATCACAAAATGGAGATTTTTTCCCCTTGTAGAAAAGCTGTCTCACTAGCAGACATCAGGATGCTCATTCAAAAATGATTTCTTTCCAGAAATGAGTATGCTTCCTATGAAAAGCTCCAGGATAAGTCACAGGGAAGGCATATTGATCAGTGTGGTAATAAAAATAATGCTTAGAAGTTTCCATGCGATGTGGGCCCACTGTAAACACATAATGTAGTCAAATAAGGGAATCTAAGAATGTTCTAATTAAATACATGGCCACTGGAAGACAAAAAACACGTTCTGCAATATCTCTCTTTCACCGTGGTTTGTGTTTCACTTCTTAGCTCTCTCCATGATTCCAGGAGACAGTGAAGTCACCCCATTCAATAGCTTATACATAAGGTTAACAAATATTTGGAAACCTGCCATGTACCAGGACTATTCTAGACACTGAAAATACAGCCAGAAGAGTTAAAATTTCTTAGACATTACAGTCCAGCATGTAGAAGTGACAGATAAACAGAAGTTAATGAGACTTGGTACAAGACAGCACAAGAAGAATCAAAATAGAACGGAATTATAGAGAGTGGTTTGGGATGGCTTCTCTCATGACTTTAAAACTGAAAAGAAATCTGAATAACTGAAGGAGATGCCAGACGGCTTTAAGGTGACAGAGTATTCCAATGACTGAGATAAGCAAGTAAGGACTGAGTCAGAAGCTTCTGTAGAGACAGAATAATGGTTCCTAAAGGATGTCCACATCCAGTCCCCAGGACCTATGATCACGTATACAGCAGGGGAATAGAGGTTGTAGATGCAATTAAGGTTGCTAGTCAGTTAACCAGAGAACAGGAAGATCATCCTGGATTATCCAGGAGTGATCAATATAATTACAAGGGATGCAAAAGGTGAAAGAAGGCATAAGAAGAGTGGCAGAGGGAGCACGACTATGGGGATGCAAGTTGCTGCCTTTGAAGATGGAAGAAGGAAAGCAAGAGCCAAGGAGTGTGGACAGTGCCTAGACACTGATAAACCAAAGCAAAGGCTTCTCCCCAAGAGCATCCAGAAAACATGAAGCCCTACAGACAACTTGATAACTGCCCAGTGAGATGTATCAGACTTCATCCCTAAAGAACACAAAAATAATAAATGTTTGTTGCTCAGTCTGCTAAGTCTGTGATCATTGGGTACCAGCAAAAGGCAACACAGTGTCCTTGGGAGGACAGAGAAACAGCAGGGAGAATAATGTGGCTGGTAAAGACAGAGCAACAGGGAGAGGACAGGAGATGCAGTTAGAGAGGTGGCAGAGAGGGGATGAATGGCAGAATACAGGTTCTCTAAAAGTCCATTAAAGAGGTTGTAACTTTAATAAAAATAAGCCAAACAGGCTTTTGAGCTGAGGAATGACAATCTGACTTACATTTCCTGAGGATCACTTCGGCTGCTATGAGAACAGATGTCACGATGGGAAGGCAGGCAGCAGGGCCACCAGGTGTAAGATGGTTGTCAATAATCCAAGAAAGAGGTCTGGCCATTTAGGCCAGGGCAATGGATTTGAGCACAGACAGAAGTAAACAGATGGAAGAGACGTACAGGGATTCACAGTTGCTTGATTCTTACCTGAATCCCCTTCTCTTTGGGTTGCTGTCTTCATCATCCAAATCTTTTCTTCCCTTAGGAAGTGGAAAGTATCCCTGTGGAATGCTTGATGTCCTGCAAATAGGCAAAGTTACGTGCTTAATCCCAACACATTCTAGGTAACATCAAGGTAAAATTTACTAGAAATTTAGGTTCTCACTGCACACTCACTGTCCTCACCCACTGAGAGAAGGTTCCTGAAGTTCTCCAGCATCACATCCTGGTACAGCTTCCTCTGGGCAAGGTCCAGCAGCCCCAGCTCCTCTTCAGTGAAGACCACAGCCACGTCCTTGAAAGTCATTGCCTCCTACAGCATCAAACATATGCAATCTCAACCCCATGACCAATGATTCCTGGGAGAGGGGTGGTACTGAGCAGACAGAGGGGAGGGGTGGGAAGTTGTTTTGGATCTTGAGAGACATAGGTCAACTCATAGGTTTCCTACTCATTCTGTCTGAATCCTGACAGTGACTGATTTTCCTGAGTTCCACCAGAAACGCAATGATGAAAAAGACCTCCTGTATTTTTACTTCGTGCAATCATTGAGTCTCCTTGTAAGTAATCCTCTAGGACTCTAAATGTGTCGTCCTGGGCTACACATATATATACGTTTTGATAAATCTTGACAATCACCTCAGCAACATTTCGCAATTCAGTCCTGACTTTGCTTGATAATGCCCATTGTTTTCCTCTCTCAAACTTGAACCCTGGATGTTATTGTTTTTCTTCAACATTTGCCAAACTGACAAGCTTATGGTGACATGTGTGAGTAGTTACGCAGTGAGCCCTCTGTACTCTCAAGGCAAAAACTACATATATTAATTGCAACATTGAATGTCATGATCTGCAGCCAGCATGCCTCAGAGCGCATATATAAGGCTCTGTCCCTTCCCAGTCATGTCACCTTGGACAAGCTGGCCTGAATGCATTACTTTCCTCTCTGTATAATGATTGTCACATGATGTAGTTTTTAAATAATTAAACAGTGGAATATACATATGGTACTGGGGAAAAGTGTGCAGCACAGACTGAATACTTAATAAACATTAGCTGCTTTGATTTTTGTCAATTATTGTTATTGATTTTATCTCATGTCTGCATAGTGTTCCATGGAACTAATCTATTGTTATTCTAAATAATGAATATTTAATTTTATATCTTTTCCATGATTACCAATCCAATAAAGAACATCATTTCAGGTAGATCTTACTCTCCTATTTAAAGTAAGTTTTAAATAGCAAAATGTCAAAAAATAAGAATGTTTAAAACCGTGATTATGTCACATTTTCTCAACTTTTTTTTTTTACCTAACTTCAAAATCTTTCAAGGGGATACATTATCCTGATTTTTCTTAACATAGCCAAAAGCAGGTTATCAGTTTTCCCATTATTTTGGCAATCTGATTAGGAAGAAATTGGTTTTTTTCTTTTTTTTTTTTTTTTTCTTTTTGTAGATATAGAGTCTTGCTATGTTTCCCAGGATGGTCTTGAGCTCCTGATTTCAAACACTCCTCCTTCCTAAGCCTCTTAAAGTGCCAGGATTACAGGTGTGAGTCACGGGTCTGGCCACAATTTTGTTTTATTATTCTCACTTATTTGATTATAAATGAATACCACCATCTTTTCAAATATTTATTGATGTCTGTTTTTCTCCTTCTATACATTCCTGGTAATGTCCTTTATTCATATTTCTTTGGATTTTCTTCCCTAGTTTGTGCATAAGATTCTTATTTTAGATTGTATCTTTTTTTAGATATCCAAATGGTAAATATTTTCACCTTAGACTATTACATTTTCTGGTAACATTGTGTAAGGCATCTTTTCCCATAATGAATTTTAAAATTTTCTATAATGACTGTGGTAATTGCTGTCCTTGGGTGCCTGAAGTGCTGGGGGCCATGGAAGAGGTACCATGACAGGAAGAGAAGACGTCCCCCTCCCAAGGTAGGGTCAGGGAGGAGCAATGCCACCTGTGGACGTCATCACTCAACAGGACACTCCAAACACCCACACCACAGGGCACAGGCCCCTCAGTGGAGAATTCTCTCTTTCTTCTTCTCTCTCTTTCAACTGAGGAAAATGGCAAAAATGGCTAATATTCTTGAACCTTGGTCTCCTGTCTGAACCCAAGCAGGTTTCTCATATTTCATGTGTTTAAGAGGAAGATAAGAACTGCTTCAATCAGCTGTTCTGAGGAGTAAATGAAGAAACAAAACACAAATGACTGGCAAATCTTCTAGTATCATACACAAAAAATTTACGTTAGGCTGGGTGTGGTGGCTCATGCCTGTAATCCCAGCACTTTGGGAGGCCCAGGTGGGTGGATCACCTGAGGTCGGGAGTTCAAGACCAGCCTGACCAACATCGAGAAACCCCATCTCTACTAAAAAACAAAATTAGGCATGGTGACGCATGCCTGTAATCCCAGCTACTCAGGAGGCTGAGGCAGGAGAATCCCTTGAGCCCAGGAGGCAGAGGCTGCAGTGAGCTGAGATTGCACCATTGCACTCCAGCCTGGGCAACAAGAGTAAAACTCCATCTCAAAAAGTTTAAAAAAAAAAAAATTAGCTTACATATTACTTTGGTCAAATTCCTTAATATATAAAGGAATAAAGAAAGGCCAGTAAATAAAAGACACAGAAGGCATGACTCAGGCATGGGGGAAAGAGAATCTAGCTCTTCCTGTGTGGAAACTTCCAGCAATCCTTGTGTGAAGCCACAGTTACAGCCTGCCGTGATGTGCCACATATGGATCACTCTATCTACAAAACAGCCACCGTGGCACACATCAAAAGTAGCCTTTCAAAACTGAGTTCCTGGTGTCTGGGAGTATAAAGTAATTAAAAAGGAACATTGATTAAATGGGAATATGGTGCAACCATTAAAAATGAGCATTATATAATATTAAATACAAAGAGTGCAATTTAAATTAGATTAATATCACCAATACAAATACAGTTATGAATGTACATGAAGAAGAGTATCACAGGACAAAAATAGCTAATGTGTGAGCAGAGAAGTAGTATAATGAAATAATTATCCATTCCTACTATCTTGTCTACTCCATAGAATAAATGACACAAGAAAACAAGAAGTAAAAACAAATGCAAAATCCACTCAAAAGTAACAAAGGAAGCACCTGGTACACAAGAGATCCTCAAATGTCTGCTTTTCTCCTTGAGTCTTCCCAAGACAGAGAAAAATTTGTGACAATCTGAGTACTGAGATGGAATTTTAAGAGTAATAGAAACAAGTCCTACCCACCTTGAACATGGTCATTTTCCTTCTTACTTCTGGAAACTTGCAGAGTCCTGAGTGATGCAGTTCCTGGAAAAGCAGAATTGTGCCTGCAGAGTGCCAGGAAAGGCAGAAAAAGAGACATGAAAAGGTGGCCAGGGATGCCACCCACCAACAGGGATGTGTATTGTGAATTGGCACATGAATGTTCACAGCAGCATGAATCATAAAAACCCAAAACAGCACAACCAAAATGCCCTCCCCGGGGTAAATGAGTAGACAAATCATGGTCTATCCATACAATGGAATCTCATTTGGAAATTTAAAGAAATGAAGTACTAACTCATGCTACAACATACATGAACCTTTGAGACATTATTGCTAAATGAAAGAAGTCAGTTACAAAGGGCCACATATTGCAGGATTCCATTTCTATAAAATGTCCAGGTAGGAAAACACATATAGAGAGAAAATTGATTAGTGATTGCTTCAAATCTGAGTGAGAATGATGTCTAACCATAAGTAGGCATGAGGAGATCGATATGAGAATGAAATGATCACTGAATTGTGGTGATGGTTACTCCATTCAGCAAACTTTCTAATGATCACTGGATGTACACCTGATATAAGAAAGTTCTATGATACCATAGGTTGGAAAAAATAATTGTTAACATAAACATCATTTAACTTAACAAGAGTCAATTCTAAGTCCATATTGATAGAATATCTGTAGTTGAACAAAGAATAAATGGAGGAGGAGATCATTTTACAGCTGAATGCCCATGAATAATGTTATCTATTCCTAAGAAACTTTATTATTTTCATTTTTTTTTAAGTAACTTTATAGTGGAGAAATCTGAAAGACAGCATCTCGGCCAAGTGGACAAGGTTGAGATCACCAATGAAGAGACAAACTGACATCACTTGGACCCTGTTATGTTGCAATGAAAAGGACATTTCACCACTTCTGTGGTATCCCTACCAACAATACATAATCTGAACCCGCACGTGAATCACATCAGACACACCTCCAAATTAATGCCTTTCTCCAAAATAACTTGCCTATACTCTTCAAAAATATCAAGCATAGAAAGACAAAGGGTGTAGAATCCTCCAGATTATAGATTATGGAAATGTGACAACTAAAGGCAATGCATAAAATTAGACTGTGAACACGGGTGGTGGTGGCAGATGGGTAGGGGACACTTGTAAGAACCTTAAGTGAAAAACAGAACAAATTTAAATATAGAACTGCAGAGTACATAACATGAAGTTAGGTAATATGTTATCTAGCACTATATAATAGATAATACAATAAACTACTATTAGCAGTCTGGATAGATATCTAATATTAAATAAATAACATTATCCAGTATACAATCTAATATTATCTAATATGTTATGTGAAACCATATACTAGCCCTTCCTAAGCTCCTCTCACCAAGATAGCTCCTGCTATGTGGACTTCCTTGCTGCAGAAAGCTATAATCAGCTGTCTCTGGTTACAGGTATATTTCTGGTGGTATTCAGCTGATGGTCATCAACAAAACAGGAAAAATGTAAACACTTGACAAACATGGGTAAAGAGTAAATAAGAATTTCTTAGGCTATTTTGGCAACTTTTCTATAGGTTTTAAATGATATGAAAATAAAAAGTTTTATAATTTCAGAAAACATAAGAAAAATAATAACAATGAGATTAATGAGTATGATATAACATGATAGTTCACTAGTTTAGTCTCTTTGTCAGTGTTTGGAAATTTCCATAGTTAAACACATAAGGGGGAAACATTAAGAAAAAATTATAATAATTTAAAAATGTTCATAAACCTATAAATATACAAAAAAAAAAAAAAGAAAAGAAACATATTACAAGCTTAACAGTTGCTATCTTTACATCATGGATTAGTGGGTAATAAAAACATTTTGTTCTTTTTTTTTTTTTTTTTTTTTGAGACGGAGTCTGGCACTGTCGCCCAGGCTGGAGTGCAATGGAGGATCTCGGCTCACTGCAACCTCCGCCTCCCGGATTCAAACGAGTCTCCTGCCTCAGCCTCCCAGGTAACTGGGATTACAGGCGCCCGCCACCACGCCCAGCTAATTTTTGTAATTATGTTTTAGTAGAGACAGGGTTTCACTATCTTGGCCAGGCTGGTCTCGAACTCCTGACCTCGTGATCCGCCGGCCTAGGCCTCCCAAAGTGCTGGGATTACAGGCGTGAGCCACCGCGCCCGGCCCATTTTATTCTTAATAAAGAAAAACAGAATGCTCTACAATGATATGGTTCTGTAAGAGTACAAAATATTTGTAATGATTGAAACAAAATAGTTGACAACATTTTTAAAAACTGACAAAAGCTCACGCCCCTAAGCCTTGCTTTCCCCACGTAAGTCCAACTAGCTCCTCTGCCTCAATGAGAACGTATCCAACAGAAGATCAAATCAGGCCCTGACCCGGACTGCTTAGGTTCCAACCCCAGCTCCACCTCTCACTAGTCGGGTGCCTATGCGCCCTGTGTCTCTCTTTCGTTTTTAAAATAGAAAAAAGCAATACTTCTCCACAGAGCCACGGTGTGGCGTAAATTTATTTGTATAAAGCCCTTAGAATGAAGTTAATAATTAAGACTTAATTATTATCGACCCCCATGCCCGAGGACACATCCTATACACTCTCGGTTGGGGTGAGCATCTCTGTCAAAGAAAAGAGCCAAGGACCACTCACGTAGAGCTTTGCCCTCAGTAGCCAAGAAGTCCCTCCCTGCAGCTCTTTTGGAAAGGTCGGGTTGAGGAGGGAGAAAGGTATGAAATACTCTGACCGCGTCGCCGTCCCCCATAAGTTAAATGTTCCTCACCCTTCATGAAAGTGGACGCAAACCTCGCCCTCCTAAAGAGGTCGGAAGGCTTCCGGGATCATCCGGCGTCCTGCAGGGATCAGGGACAAGGGCCAGGGCCCCTGCAGCTGGAGCTCTCAGCCCACCCGGGGACCTGACAGGCTTCGTGGGAAATTAACAAGAGACCACCAGTCACCAAGTGACAGGGACTGCTTTACGCCTCTCATTTGTGTTACCTCTTCCAGTTCCCAAAACGATTCCATTAGGATGGTCCTAAAGTCCCCATTTTAAAGAACAGTAACGGGAAACCCAAGGAGATTAACACCCCAACGTTACATCGCGAAGAAGTGGCCGCGCGCGTGGGGTGCAGGGGGCGGAGTGGGCGAGCTCAGAGCCCCGGAAACCCTGAAACCAGGTGAGACGCGACCCAACCGAGTCCCAGTGCCCCCGGGACGCGAGGACAGACCCAAGCCCAAGAAGGTGCCACGGACGAGAACGCAAACAGCTGCCTTTGCCGCTCCAAACCTCTGCTCTGCGACGAGGCCCCTTTTCCCCTAATTCGATCGCCAGTTGGTTGAGGATCCAATGCATAGGTCCAGGAAATTCAGAACGGTCCGCAAGGCGCGGAACTGACCCAAACTGTCGCGGAAAAACTGCAGCAACCTCAGTCCCCAAACGGAAGTGCCCGCGACTCCACTGAGTGTTTGGACTCCACTTCCCAGAATTCCCCGGGACCCGCCAGGCGGAGCCAAACTGACCGCTACTCCACTGAGCGTCTGGACTACACTTCCCAGAATTCCCTGGGACCCGCCTGCCGTAGCTAAACTGACCGCGATTTCACTGAGAGTCTGGACTGTACTCCTGCAGCATCACCCTCCGGGGGAAGTGTTGACGACTACTAGGAAGCCCTTGACTACTCTTTCCACCGGGAATGAATCCCATATCCCCGAGCGCCTGTTGGGAAATGTGGACTACCTTGAGAGTCGTCCTTCCTTTCCTCTCCCTGGGTGCCCAGGAGAAAATATCGTATAGAAAGGAATTCCTGAAGTCTAAACGCCTCTAGTGATGACAGGAGGGTTACTGGAAAGGGACCAAGCGAGATGATACAATCATAAAATAATTAAGTTTTGCCAGTGGTAAGAAATGGCATGTAGTTTTAATTTAAATCTCTTGTAAACAAAATGGAATATTCTTGCATATTTTCAGGTGTCATTATTACAGTTTTTGTAAATTGTCCGGATGTTTTGCCCACTTTTTTATTTTTTGGTTTTATCCCTCACTTTTCAAGCACTGTTTTTATATTCATGATATTAACATTTTATCTCGCAAAGATTTTCTCAACAAAAACGTTTGTTTTTTTCTTTCTTATCTATGCGAAACATTTTAACGTATTTTATTATTTAAAACATCTCTGTTGAGGTGTAATGCACAAAACGTGAAAGTCACCAAAAGTTAGGAAACATTTTCATCACCCCAAAGACCCCATACCCACTAAGCAATCTCTGTCCTATTGAATTACCTATTGTGGACATTTCATGTAAATGGAATTATAAACTATGGAACCTTTTGTTTCTGACCCCTTTCACTTAGCATACTGCTTTTGTTTGTTTGTTTTTGTTTTGTTTTTTGAGACTCACTCTGTGGCCAGGCTGGAATGCAGTGGCGCGATCTTAGCTCACTGCAACCTCCGCCTCCCGGGTTCAAGCGATTCTCCCGCCTCAGCCTCCAGAGTAGCTGGAACTACAGGCGCGTGCCACCACGCCGGCTAATTTTTCTGTATTTTTAGTAAAGACGGGATTTCACCGTGTTAGCCAGGATGGTCTCGATCTCTTGACCTCGTGATCCACCCGCCTCGGCCTCCCAAAATGCTGGGATTACAGGCGTGGGCCACCGCACCGGGCCAGCATACTGCTTTTAAAGTTCATCCACATCACAGCATGTACCAGTACTTCATAATATTTTATATTTATGCTACGATTTGTTTTTTTGTTTGTTTGCTTTATCATGTTTTGTTTTGAGATGGAGTTTCCCTCTTGATGCCCAGGCTGGAGTGCAATGGCGTGATCTCAGCTCACTGCAACCTCCGTCTCCTGGGTTAAAACGATTATTCTGCCTCAGCCTCCCAAGTAGCTGGGATTACAGCTATGTGCCACTATACCCGGCTAATTTTTTTGTATTTAGTAGAGACAGGGTTTCACCATGTTACTCAGGCTGGTCTCGAACTCCTGACCTCAGGTGATCCACCCACCTCAGCCTCCCAAAGTGCTGGGATTACAGGCCTGTGCCACTGTTTATCCATTCATTCATTGAGGGACATTTGGGTTATTTCCACCTTTTGGCAGTAGTCAATAGTGTTGCTACAAACAGTGGCATACAAGTATTTCTTTCATCACCTGCTTTCAGTTCTTTTGGGTATACACCTAGATATGAAATTTAGTGATTCGTATGGTAATTCCATGTTGGGAACCACAAAACAATTTTCCACAGCAACTGCACCGTTTTTACACTCCCACCTTCAGTGTGTGAGGGCAGTAATTTCTCCACATCCTCTCCAACACTTATTTTGTGTGTGTGTGTGTGTGTATATATGTATGAAATATATATGTATATGTATATGTGTGTATGTATAAATTGGAAACGGGGTCTCCCTGTGTTGTGCAGGCGGAATTGCAGTGGCTATTCACAGGCAACATCTCACTACTGATCAGCATGGGAGTTTTGACCTGCTGTGTTTCCATCCTGGACCAGTTTACCTCTCCTGAGGCAACCTCATGGTCCTCTGCTCCTGGGAGGTCACCATGTTGATGGTGGACACCCAGTGGGCATAGCTTACTACACCTCAAAACTCCTGGGCTCAAGCGATCCTCCTACTTCAGCCTCCCAAGTAGCTGGGACTACAGTTGCCTGCCACCACATCGGCTATTTTCTATTTTTAAAGATGATAGCCAACATAGCTGTTTTAAAATGGTATCTCATTATTGGTTTGATTCGCATTTTCCTAATGACTAATAGTTGAGCATCTTTTCACACGATTGTTGGTAACTTATATATCTGAAATTTCTATTTGTATCTTTGCCCATTAGAAAATTGAATGATTTCTCTTCTTGTTATTGAGTTGTAAGAGTTCTTTTTTTTTTTTTTCTTTTTCTTTTTCTTCCTCTTTTTGAGAGATGGAGTCTCTCTTTGTTGCCCAGGCTGGAGTGCAATGGCACATCATGCCTTGCTGCAGCCTTGACCTCCCAGGCTCAAGCGATCCTTCTGCTTCAGCTCCCGAGTAGTTGGGACCACAGGTGTGGGCCACTATGCCTGGCTGCTTTTTGCATTTATTTTTTCATTTTTGTAGAGACATGGTTTTCACCATGTTGCCCAGGCAGGCCTCAAACTCCTGGGCTCAAGCAATCCACCCATCTCAGCCTTCCAAAGTGCTGGGATTATAGGTGAGAGCCACCTCACCTGGTCTAAGAGTTATTTATATATTCTGATACTAGACACCATGCTGTATGGTCTTTTCATGCTCTTGACAATGTCTCTGTATGCAAAGCATTTTTTTGCTCTAGTCCAATTTATGTGGGCTTTTCTTAGCTTGTGCATATGGTGTCTTATCTAAGAATCCATTCCAAATAAAAAGCCTTAAAGATGAACTTTTATGTTTTATTCTAGGAGTTGCATAGCTTAAGCTGTTTTATTTAGGTCATTGATCATTTTGAGTTAATTTTTAGGTATAGCGTGAAGAGTGGATCTAACTTCATTATGTTGCATATGTATATATAGTTGCCCAGCACTGTTTGCTAAAGAGACTATGCTTTCTCCATTAAGCCATCTTGGATCTTTCTTGAAAATCAAGTTACTTTAGATGTATGGGTTTCTTTATGGACTCTCAATTCTATTCCATTACTATAGCTTGGTAGTAAGTTTCGAAATGGGGAAGTGGGAGCCACCCATCGTGTTCCTTTAAAAAAAAAAAAAAAAAGATGTCTATTTGCATCCATTGCAATTACATATGAATTTATTTCTGCAAAAAAAGACTGTTTGGATTTTGATAGTGATTGCAGTAAAACTGTAGATTGGTTTGGATAGTATTGTCATCATAAAAACGTGAAGTTTCCAATCCATGAATGCCTAGATAATAAGTGAATTCAGCATGATCACAGGATACATTATCAGCATACCAAAATTAATTTATATATATTATACTAGCAATGAACAAATGGAAATCAAAGTTCTTACCTAGATGGAAGTTCAACAAAAGATGTACAAGGGTTGTAAGATGAAAATTACAACACACTGATGAAGAAAATCCAACAATATTAAATGAATGGAGAGATATTCCATGTTTGAGGATCATGGGACTCAATACAGCAAAAATGTTCATTCTCCCCAAATTGATACACAGGGTTAAAATAATTACTATCAAAATCACAGCAAGATATTCTGTAGATATAAAACTATTCTAAAATTTATATGGAAAGGCAAAGGAACTAGAATATGAGTATGGTTAGGGTTGTCTTCACAGTTGAAAATCTTTCATTTCCGGAGACATTATAGGGGAGACACTCTGTAAAAAGCTGGTCTCAAACTCCTAGATTCAAGTGATCCTTCTGCCTCAGCCTCCCAAAGTGACAGAATTAAAAGTGTGAGCCACCATGCCTGGCCACTTACAAGAGACTTACAAAAGTGAGTCACTAAATGATTAAAGTAAAAATCAACAAATTTCCTTGAAAAATGCCCTGTATAAATGTGATTATTGTATTTTCGGCTTCGGTTTGATTTTACATCACCATCAAAATCAAGGAGCACATAAAAGAAAGCAAGTTTGTTTACTTTTATTTTTATTTTTATTTTTTGAGACGGAGTCTCGCTCTGTCGCCCAGGGTGGAGTGCAGTGGCGCAACCTCAGCTCACTGCAACCTCCACCTCCCTGGTTCAAGCAATTACCTTGTCTCCGCCTCCTGAGTAGCTGGGCTTATGGGCGCATGCCACCACCACACCCAGCTAAATTTTTTGTATTTTTAATAGAGACAGGGTTTCACCATGTTGGCCAGACTGGACTCAAATTCCTGATCTCAGGCAATCTGCCCACCTCAGCCTCCCGAAGTGCTGGGATTACAGGCATGAGCTACCAAGCCCGGCCGAAAGCAAGCTTATTATGCTCACTTTGGCACTGGAGAAGACCTCTCATAACCAGCAGACAATTTTCTCAAAAAACCTATGTGTAATGAATGTGGACAAGGATTCAGTGATGGCTCTAGAGTTGAAATTCATCACTAACTAGATTTAGGAGACAGCCCCAATATCTTTAATAAAATATATTGGGCTTTAACGATAGCTGAGTTTTTCCCATTCATGAGTTTTCATCTGTAAGCCCATCACCTTGTCAGTGTTGGAAACTTCAGAAATGTGGCGCACCTTCAGATGGATTGAAGTCTTCATGTTTATTAAGGAGTCCATGACAATGCTACATCTTTTACAGGTAATGAGTATGGTTAGGGTTGTCTTCACAGTTGAAAGCCTTTCATTTAACCAGAGACATTACAGGGGAGACACTATAAAAAGTAAGTGCTTTAAATATTCCTGCTTATGTTATGTTCATCTTTATGCCAATATTTTTATGCTGTCCAATTCATCAGATTTTCTTTCTTGTTTAGTGATACTCCCCCCAAAAATACTAGCCTTCCCAAGTTAGTGGAAACAGTGTACTATTTTGTTGACAGAAACTAAAGAAGATCAGTCAGGGGTGGTGGTCCATGCCTATAGTCCCAGCTTCTCAGGGGGTTAAAGCAAGAGGATCACTTAGTCCCAGGAGTTCGAGGCTACAGGGCACTGTAAATGCATCTGTGAATAAACAATCCAGCCTGGGCAACAAAGAGAGACCTCATCTCAAAAACAAAACAAAACAAAATGCTGGGTGCAGTGGCTTATGCCTGTAATGCCAGCACTTTGGGAGGCTGAGGAGGGAGAGTCACTTGAGCCCAGGAGTTTGAGACTAATTTGGGTAACATAGTGAGACCCCATCTCTACAACAAAAATTTAGCCAGGCGTGTTGTTGCATGCCTATAGTCCCAGCTTTTGAGGGGCTGAGGCAGAAGCACTTCTTGAGCCTGGGAGGTCAATGCTGCAGGGAGCCCTGATCATTCCACTGCATGCTAGTCTGGGTGACAGAGCAAGACTGTCTCAAAAGAAAAAAAAAAAAAGCCAAGTCTTGCCTAATAATGGTCAGAGTTTATAGAGGTAAAACCAGTTTGAAATAGTTTTTGGAAGTATCTACTAAAATTAACATATTCATACCTTATAACTCTTTGCTGTCACATACATCATATTATTAAGGTTCCTCTACAGAATAGGCACTGAATTTGAAGATGTGAGCCCTGACTGAAGTATGTACCACACTCTCCACACATCCATGGTGTTTCTCCAGTGTAGATCCTCTTATGCATATTAAGATTCAAGTGATCCAGCAATCCCACTATTAGCTGTATATCCAAAGGAAAGGAAATTCGTGTGTTGAACTCCTATCTGTACTCCTATATTTATTATAGTACTATTTGCAATAGCTAACGTATGGAACAATTCTAAATATTCATCAACAGAAAATGGTAAAGAAAATGTGGCATACATACACAAAGGTATACTATTTAACCATAAAAAATAATAAAATGCTGTCATTTATGGCAAGGTAAAGATAAGCTTTGGAGAACATGAAGTTGAGTGATGTAAATTCAGGCCCAGAAAGACAAATACTACAGGTTATCACACATATGTGGAAGTCTGGGCAACAGAGCAAGACTATTCTCAAAAATCACAGAAGCAGCATAGCATTGGCCAGGCACGGTGGCTCATGCCTGTAATCCCAGCACTTTGGGAGGCCAAGGCAGGTAGACCATTTGAGGTTGGGAGTTCAAGACTAGCCTGGCCAACATGGTGAAACCCAGTCTCTACTAAAAATACAAAAATTAGGCTGGGCATGGTGGCTCACGCCTGTAATCCCAGCACTTTGGGAGGCTGAGGTGGGGGTATCACCTGAAGTCAGGAGTTCGAGACCAGCTTGGCCAATATGGCAAAAACTCATTCCCTACTAAAAATACAAAAATTAACCGATTGTGGTGGTGGCCACCTGTAGTCCCAGCTACTTGGGAGGCCAAGGCAGGGAGAATTATTTGAACATGGGAGGCAGAGGTTGCAGTGAGCCGAGATCATGCCATTACATTCCAGACTGGGCGACGGAGTGATACTCCATCTCAAAAAAAAAAAAAAAAGTACCAAAATTAGCTGGGCATGGTGGTGCATGCCTGTAATCCCAGCTACTCAGGAGGTTTAGGCAGGAGAATCACTTGAACCCAGGAGGTGGAGGCTGCAGTGAGCCAGGATCATGCCACTACATTCAAGCCTGGGCAACAGAGCAAGACTCTGTTCTCAAAAAATAAATAAATAAATAAAAATAAAAAAGGAGAAGCAGTGTGGCATAGCAATTACTAGAAGGGAAAAGTAGGAGGGGGGTGGATGATGAAAGATTGGTTAACAGATACAAAAGTACAGTAAGATGAAAGGAACAAGTTCTAGTGCTCCACAGCACTAAAGGTGACTATAATTAATAATAATTTATTTTCAAATAACTAGAACAGTTTTTGAAGGTTCAAAACACAAAGAAATGATAAATTGTATACATGTATTGAAATATCATGCTGTAACCCATAAATATGGACAATAATTATATGTCATTTAAAAATAATGATAAAATCATATCGAGATTCAAGCGCCTCTTGTAGCGCTTCCCACAGTCCTCACATTTAGATGTTTTTTCTCCACTGTGGTCTCTTTGTTGGTCTTGAAGGCATGAACTGTGCACAATACTCTTCCCACAGTCCTCACATTGAAGTACTTTTTCTCTACTGTGGAGTCTCTGATGGGTTAGATGAGTTGAGGCCCATCTGAAGCCCTTTCCACACTCCTCACATTTGTAAGGCTTTTCTCCAGTGTGAATTCTTTGATGGAAACGAAGTTTTGAATTCTCAGTAAACCTCTTCCCACACTCTTCACATTTGAATGGTTTTTCTCCAGTATGGAGTCTCTTATGTCTCAAAATACCTGAGGCCCACCTGAAGCTCTTTCCACATTCCTTACAATTATAAGGTCTCTCTCCCGTGTGGACCCTCTGGTGCGAGTCAAGATTAAACTTACTAATGTAGCCCTTCCCACACTTCTGACATTTATACAGTTTTTCTCCTCTGTGGGCTGTCTGATGAGAATGGCCCCGTGAATTCATATGAAATCTCTTCCCACATCCATCGCACTTGAATGTTGCTTCTCCACTGTGGATCCGCTGATGTCTCGAAAGACGTGAGGACCACCTGAAGCTCTTCCCACATATGTTACAGTTATATGGTTTGTCTCCTGTATGGTCCATCTGATGCTTACAGAGATCTTGCCTACAAGTGAAGCTCCTTCCACATTCTTCACATTTGTATAGCTTCTCTCCTGTGTGGTCCCTGCAATGACCATTAAGTGCTGATCTCTGACCAAAGCTATTACTGCAGGTATCACATCTGAATGATTTCTCTTGCATGTGGACCATGGAATGCCTATTAAGATTTGATCTACTATGGAAGCTCTTACCACATATATAACATTTGAATGGCTTCTCCCCAGTATGGATTCTTTGATGTTCCCGAAGCTGGGAATTGTGAATGAAGGCCTTCCCACATTCCTCACAAATATGAGGTTTTTCTCCTGTGTGTAATTTGCAATGAACATACATTCCTGATCTACGGCTGAAACTTTTCCCACACTGCTCACATTTGAATGGTTTCTCTCCAGTGTGGATTCTCTGATGAGTTTGCAGTTGTGAGTTCTGACTAAATTCCTTACTACACACATCACACTTATAGAGTTTCTTTCCCATGTGAACTTTCTGATGAAGAGCTGAGCTGTAACAGAAGCTCTTCCTGTACTCATTACATGTATGGGACATCTTTCCTGAGTGCAATTGTTGATGAAGATCAAGGATGGAGACATCACTGAAGAATTTTTTACACTTCCCATCCTCGGAAGGTGTCTGTCCTATGTGAATTATAGATAGTCCTGCGTCAACCTGGGAGGGGACGTCACCTTGTGTGGAGAACTGAGAGCTACTTATCATGGAGTCTTGAGGCCTAGTTAACTCACTTGCAGTTTGTTCCCAGACTTGCTGGCAAGACCACTCTTCATGTGGTCCTGTTTCTGGAACAGACTCCAACTCAGTTTGGATCTTGCCTCCTATAAGGACACAGAATTAAGAGGTGTGGGTAAGTGAAGCCTTTGTTCAGTGTTTTCAGGATTTCACTTAGGACATGGCCTGAAACTTTACTGAATACAAGGAAGGCACAGTTTGTGTTTTCCAAGTGCACCACGGTCTCTTGTCACGAAACCAGTTTGAACTACATAATGTCTCATAGGTGGTAGAAAGACTTAATTTAAAATAGTAATATAATACAGTTAACTTGTTACTATTTCTACCAATTTCCTAGTTAGTCTAAAATCTTGCATGGTATATTATGTAACTACTAAATTATATATGTGATGAATCAGAAGGAACTTTAAGGGTAGGAAGACTTCAAGATGGCTGACTAAAGACACACAGAGCTTGCCTCCTCCACAAAGAGCCAAAATAATGAGCAGTGCTCACTTCAGCAGCGCATATGGTAAAACTGGAATGAACAGCCTCTGCGCAAGGCTGATATGCAAATTCATGAAGTGTTCTATATATTTTATTAGTAAAAAATTTAAAAAGCAAATAGATAATCATACATCAAATAGCATCTAAGAGGGATCATTGGAATTCAGCAGAGAAGTGACAAGAAACACCCAAAGCACAAAAGGAGAGCGAAGGGAGGTAGCCCTTCTAGCCGTGATCACCTGAAAGCCCGGAAAGGCTCCTCAGTGCTGGGAAAGGGTAAGTGAGAGGGCCCTAGTGGTTTACATTTCCACTGTGGACTCCAGCAGTCAGCCATGAGAGACGCCCTCGACCCCTGCGGGCCCTGAGACTAGTGTAGGGGGCTACCTGGAGTCCATGCAAGGGCACTGCTTCAGAGAAGGCGCTCATGATGGGTTCCACACACTTCCTGAGACTCAAGCAGTTATGGCACAGTGCTATTTTGAGAGCCGCACCCCCACCAGACTGCATCTTGCCCTGGGGCCCAACAGCCCTTGCATCTCCAAATCCCTGGAGCCCCATCGACATGTCCCCACAGCCACCCGGAGGGTTGCAATAGTGCAATGCCTGTTAGACCCAGCAGTACGGCAGAGTCCCCAGCAATCTAGGCCACATAGTGTCCTATTCTCTGGCGAATGGGCAGTGCAGCACACCAGGGAGTCTGCCCCCAATACAGTACAAAAGGACCCAAAGTGTGCACTCACCAGAGCTTGAAAGCTGCCTGTCTGGGGCTGCTGCCTCTAACAGCAATGCTCCCTCACCCCCAGCAGCAGGGCCACTGTACACTTACATGTGTTCTCACTCTGAGGAAAGGCTCTCCGCACACTCTGCCACTGCCACCCAAGCACACCTCCTAAAGGCTTGGGGAACCCCTTGCACTGCCCACCACAACCTGTGCCCGTGCACAGGACAAGCCCACTTCACTTGGTGCCACCCATCTCAGTGCCAAAGCATGACACAGAGGGACCTGGGGATTGCTCCACCCTGTGTTGCCTCAGGCACACGTGTGCACAAACAGGAGACCTGACAAAGACCCAGCTTGTGTGCTGGCAGTGCTGGAGCATGCCATCTGGGGGCCTAGGGATCACGCCGCCTCTTCCACCACAGCCTACATCTGCCCGCGCCACTGAAAGGCCTGAGGACAGGCTCACCTGGCCTGGCGTCATGCCTCCACTACCCAAGCATACCACTTGGGACTACTGAGATCACCCTGCCATGTTGGTTGCCCCAGGCATGAGCATGTACCATGGAGGGAGCCTTACAACAGACCCAGAACGCTGCCGCAGGTGCCCAAGCCTGCTGTCCGGAGGCCTAAGGATTTCCCTGCCCTGATCACCACCACTGGCATCTGTGCACTCCTCCTAGTGACCTGAGGAAAGGTCCTACAAACCTGCTGCCACCACCACCGCTGATACTCCCCTGCACACACCATGGGGGGCCTCAGGACTGGCCCACCCAGCCCATCACCACTACCTCTAACACCAGTGCACACAGCCTGGAAACCTGAGGGTTATCCTGCCACCATTGTTGGGTACTGTGCTCAGTACCTGGGTGCCAGGATCATTTGCAATGCAGACCTCAGCACCCCACCATATACCTAGGTAAGAAACCTGCACATGTACCTCCTGAATCTTAAAATAAAAATTGAACAGCTGAAAGTCCTCCTCTTAAGACATTCTATCCCAGTGGGTAGAGATGACAGCTAAATAGAAATATATAAGACACAGTATAAGACAACACCAGAAGGGTAAAGATGGGATGGTATTCCATTCTACTTTTTTCTTCCTTTCTTCCTTTCTCTCTTCCCTCTCTCTTTCTCTCCCCTACCCCTCTCTCTCCCTCCCTCCCTCCCTCCGTCCCTCTCTCTCTCTCTCTTTCTTTCTTTCTTTCTTGAGACACAGTCTCACTCTGTCACCCAGGCTAGAGCGTAGTGGCACAATCCCAGCTCACTGCAACCTCTGCCTCCTGGGTTCAAGTGATTGTTATGCCTCAGTCACCCAAGTAGCTGGGATTACAGGACTGTGCTACCACATCCAGCTAATTTTTGTATTTTTAGTAGAGTCAGGGTTTCGTCATGCTTGCCAGGCTGGTCTCAAACTCCTGATCTCATGCTATCTGCCTGCCTCAGCCTCCCAAAGTGCTGAGATTACAGGCGTGAGCCACCACACCCGGCTGGTATTTTAAATAGAGTGGTCAGAGAAGGCCTCTCTCATGATATTAAAACTGAACAGAGACCAGAATAAAAGAAGGGTCAGAAGGTTTTGAGGTGAAAGATTATTCCAATTAGAAAGAAGAGCATATATAAACTCTAAGACAGAAGCTTCTGTAGTAGACAGAACGATGGTCCTTGAAAGATGTCCACATCCAATTCCCAGGACCTATGAACCTGTTACGTTATACAGCAAGAGATTAAGGCTGCAGATGCAATTAAGATCACTAGTCAGCTAAACAGAGAGTAGGAAGATCATTCTAGATTATGCAGGAGTGACCGATCCAATCACAAGGGACCTAAAAGGTGGAAAACAGAGGCTTAAGAAGGGGGGGGGGGGGGGGGGGGGGGGGGGGGGGGGGGGGGAAAAATGGGAGGGGAAGACGGAGGCTGGAAGGAAGGGGGGTGGGTGGCACATGGATAAAGACCTAAAAAAAAAAAAAAAAAAAAAAAAAAAGAAGGGTGGTGGCATGACTATGGAAGAATGGTCGGGGATGCAATGTAGCTGCTTTTGAAGATGGAGGAAGGGAAACAAAAGCCAAGGAGTGTGGACAGCACCTACGGATTGGTAAACTAAAGTGAAGGCTTCACCCCAAGAACATCTAGTCAGGAACAAAGCCCTAGGGACACCCTGATTTTTGTCCAGTGAGATGTGTGAGACTTCAGGTCTGAAGAACAGAAGGATAATTGTTGTTTAATCTGCTAAGTGTGTGGTCACTGGGTACCAGCAATAGGCGATACAGTGTCTGTGGCAGGATGGAGAAACAGCAGGGAATATAACTTGGCTGGAAAATGAAGATGTAGTCAGGGAGGCAGTGGGGGATGAAGAGCAGATCCAGGGTCTCTAAAAGTCACTTAAAGCAGTTGTAACGTTAATACAAATAAGAAGCCACAAAGGCTTTTAAGCTGAGGAATGGCAATCTGACTTATGTTTCCTAAGGATCACTTTGGCTGCTATGAGGAAAACAGATGTCAGGGTGGGAAGAGGGGTTGGGGGAGCAGGACAACCAGCAGGAAGGAGGTTGTAAGAATCCAGGAAACAGGTTTGGCCATTTACGCCAGGGCAATGGAGTTGGGTAATGGACAGAAGTAAAACAGATGGGAGGGTCGCATACGAGGATTCATGGTTGCTTAGTTCTTACCTGAATTCCCTTCTTTTTGAGTTGCTGTCTCCATGATCCAAAACTTTTCTTCTCTTTGGAAGTGAAAAGTATCTTGGTAGGAAAGTTGATGCCCTGTGAACAAAGTCAGATGCTTAATCCCAATACATCTTAGGTAAAATTTACTAGAAATTTAGGTTCTCACTGCACACTCAAACTTGAAAACTGATACGGTTTGGCTGTGTCCCCACCCAAATCTCACCTTGAATTGTATTTCCCATAATCCCCACATGTCATAACAGGGACCTGGTGGGATGTAGCTGAATCATAGGGGCCGTTTCCTTCATGGTGTTCTCATGAGAGTGGGTGAGTTCTCATGAGATCTGATGGTTTTATAAGGGGCCTTTCCCCCTTTGCTCGGCACTTCTTCCTGCTGCACTGTGAAAAAGGTGCCTTTCTTCCCCTTGGCTTTCCACCATGACTGTAAGTTTCCTGAGGCCTCCCCAGCCATGCGGAACTGTGAGTCAATGAAACGTCTTTTCTTTTTTTAATTTATTTTATTTATTTATTTAATTATTTATTTATTTATTTATTTATTTTTGAGATGGAGTCTCGTTCTGTCACCCAGGCTGGAGTGCAGTGGTGCTATCCCAGCTCACTGCAACCTCCGCCTCCTGGGTCCAAGCTATTCTTCTGCCTTAGCCTCCTGAGTAGCTGGGATTACAGGCAAGTGCCACCATACCCGGCTAATTTTTGTATTTTTAGTAGAGATGGGGTTTCATCATATTGGCCAGGCTGGTCTCGAACTCCTGACCTAGTGATCCACCCGCCTCAGCCTCCCAAAGTGCTGGGATTACAGGCGTGAGCCACCGCACCCAGCCTATCTTTTCTTCATAAATTACCCAGTCTCTAGTATTTCTTCCTAGCAGTGTAAGAACAAACTAATACAAACACCCTAGGGTACAAAGCCATTCCTGGGGCCTGACATTCCATTACAGAGGGTGCCTGTGCTCACCCACTGAGAGCAGGTTCCTGAAGTTCTCCAGCATCACATCTCGATACAGCTTCTTCTGGGCAGGGTCCAGCAGCCCCAGCTCCTCCTCAGTGAACACCACAGCTACATCCTTAAAGGTTACTGCCTCCTATAACATCAAACATATATAATCCCAATGTCATGACCAGTGATTCTTGGGGGAGGGGTGGCACTGAGCAGGTGAAGGGGATGAGTGAGAAGTTGCTGTGGATCTTGAGAGATGTAGGTCAACTTACAGATTTCCCATTCATTGTGTCTGTATCCTGGCAATGACACACACTGATTTTCCGGAGCTCCACCAGAAGTCCAATGATGAAAAAGTCCTATAGGTTTACTTTGTGCACTTATTGAGTCTCCTTGTAAGTAACCCTCTAGGACTCAAAATGCAGCATCCTGGGCTACGCATATATAGGTTTCAATGAATCATGCCAGTTGCCCCAGTAACATTTAGCAATTCAGTCCCAACTTTGTTAGATAATGCCTATTGTTCTCTCTCGTACTTGAACCCTGGATATAATCATTTTTCCTTTTTTTTTTCCTAATTTTTATTTTTTGAGATGGAGTCTTGCTCTGTCGCCCAGACTGGAGTACAGTGGCACTATCCCAGCTCGCTGCAACCTCCGCCTCCTGGGTTCAAGCAATTCTCCTGCCTCAGCCTCTCGAATAGCTGGGATTACAGGCACCCACCACTATGCCCGGCTAATTTTTGTATTTTTAGTAGAGACGGGGTTTCACCATGTTGGCCAGGCTGGTCATGAACTCCTGACCTTAGGTGATCTGCCCACCTCAGCCTCCCAAAGTGCTGGGATTACAGGCGTGAGCCACCGCACCCGGCCCATGTTTTTCAGTATCTGCCAAACTAACAAGTTTACGGTGACCTGTGTGGGACAGCTATGGAGTGGGTCCTCTGTATTCAAGACACAAACTACATATATTAATTGCAGCATTGAATGTCATGATCTAGAGCCAGTGTGCCTATGATCACACTGAGCGTGTGTGCTCCCTCACAAGGCTCAATCCCAAGGCTCTGTGCCTTTGCCTGCCCAGCCACGGGACCTTGGATAAGTTTTCCCGCGTGCATTTGTTTCCTTTCTGTATAAAGACTGTCACATCAATTTTCTCCAGGAATAAACAAGAGAATATAAATGGGGAAAGTCTCTGGCACAGACCAGGTATTTAATTAACATTAGTTGATTTTATTACCTTTTTTTCTTTTTTTTTTTGAGACGGAGTTTCGTTCTTGTTGCCCAGGCTGGAATGCAGTGGTGCAAACTCAGCTCATGGCAACCTCTGCCTCCCCGGTTCAAGCAATTCTCCTGCCTCAGCCTTCTGAGTGGCTGGGATTACAGGCATGCACCACTATGCCCAGCTAGTTTTGTATTTTTAGTAGAGACAGGGTTTATCCATGTTGGTCAGGCTGGTCTCAAACTCCCGACCTCAGATGATCTGCCCGCCTCGGCCCCCAAAAGTGCTAGGAAAAAAAAAGTGAGCCACCACACCCAGCTGGTAATGTCCTTTATTCATATTTCTTTGGATTTTTTATTATAACTTTCATTACAGTTATCTATTTCATTTCATGTCGGTATAGTATTACAGGGAACTGATGATCTATCATTATCTATTCTAAATAATGAATATTTAATTTTATATCATTTTCATTATTACCAATCCTGCTAAGAAAATCATGTTATGTGGACTTTATTCTCCTGTCTGATTATTGAAAATAATTTTGGCCCAGTATGGTAGCTCATGCCTGTAATCTCAGTACTTTCAGAGGCTGAGACAAGCAAATCATTTGAGCTCTGGAGTTCGAGACCAGCCTTGGCAACATAGCAAAATTCTGTCTCTACAAAATATACAAAAATTAGCTAGGCATGGTGGCACGTGACTATAATCCCAGACACTTGGGAGGTTGAGACAGAAGAATCATTTGAACCCAGGAGGTGGAGGCTGCAGTGAGCCAAGATTGTGCCACTGCACTCCAGCCTGGGCAACAGAGCAAGACTCTGTTTCTAAAAAGAAATAACATAAAATAATAAATTAATTAATTTAATTAAATAAAATAATTTCAAACCAGGTGCAGTGATTCACACCTGTAATCCCAGTGCTTTAAGAGGCTAAGGTGGGGGGATTGCTTGAATTCAAGAGTTCAAGACCAGCCTAGGCAACACAGCAAGACACCATCTTTATAAATTTTAAAAACTAGCCAGTCGTGGTGATGTGTGCCTGTAATCCTAGCTACCTGGGAGGCTGAGGCAGGGAGATCTGGACCCCAGAGGTTCAAGGCTGCAGTGTGCTACACTTACATCACTGTACTCTATCCTAGGCAACAGAGCAAAATTCTGTCTCTAAAAGAATAAGAATAAACGAAAATAAAATAATTTCAAATGAAAATTACAGTGTCAAAAAATAAGAATGTTCAAAATTGTGATCATGTATGCCAGATCCCAATTTTTTGTCAAACTCCAAAATCTTTCAAGGGGATACGTTACCCTGGTTTTTCTTAAAATAGCCAAAGGCAGATTATCAAATTTCCTGTGATGTTGATACTCTTATTTGAGAATGATTCACCTTATTAATCCCATGTATTTGATTATAAATAATACTATCACCTTTTCAAACGTGTACTGGCCACTTCTATTTCTTCTCTAAAATTTACCAATTAATGGATTAATGTCCTTTATTCATATTCCTTTGATTTTTTTTCTCCATTTTGTACATAAGATTCTTATTTTGGAGCGTGTGTTTTTTAGATATCAAAGTGGTAAATATTTTCACCTTAGGCTGTTGTATTTCCTGGTAACACTCTGTAAGCCATCTTTGCCATTAGGAATGTAAAGATTTTCTATAATGAGTGTAGCAATCACTGTCCTTTGGTGCCTGGAGTACTAGGTGTACCTGAAGAGGTGACACAACAGGAAGAGAAGAGGTCCCCTGGGGAGAGGTCAGGGAGGAGCTATGTCACCAATGGTTGTCATCACTCAAGAGGGCACTCCAGACACCCATACCAGAAGGCACAGGTCCTTCAATGGAGAATCCTCTTTCTTCTCTCTCTCTTTCAATTTAGCAAAATAGCTAACATGCCAACCCTGGGTTTCCTCTCTGAACCTCAGCAGATTTCTCATATTTCACATATTTAAGAGGAAGATGAGGCTGAGAATTGCATCATCCAGCTGTTCTGAGGAACAAACAAAGGAACAGAACACAGTGACTAGAGAATCTTCTGATATCATGGACATTTGAAACTAAAGTTACCTATCATTTTGGTCAAACTCCTTAATACATAAAGGAATAAGAAAAGACCAGTAAATAAAATACACAATGCATGACTTAAGCATGGGGAAAACAAAAGCTAGCTCTTCCTATGTGAAAAACTCCAGAAATTTTTCTGTGAAGCCACAGTTACAGCCTGCTGTGCTGTGCCACATGTGGATATTTTATCTACCAAACAGCCAACATGGTACATGTCAAAAGTACCCTTTCAAAACTGAGCTCCTAGTGCCTGTGTATAAAGTAGTTAAAAAGAAACATTGGTGGGTGTGGTGGCTCACACCTGTAATCCCAGCACTTTGGGAGGCTGAGGCGGGCAGATCACTTGAGGCCAGGAGTTCGAGACCAGCCTGGCCAACATGGTGAAACCTCGTCTCTACTAAAAATACAAATATTAGCCAAGCGTGGTGATAGGTGCCTGTAATCCCAGCTACTCAAGGGGCCGAGGCAGAAGAATTGCTTGAACCCAGGAGGTGGAGGTTGCAGTGAGCTGAGACTGCGCCACTGCACTCCAGCCTGGGTGACAAAGCAAGACTCCATCTCGAGGAAAAAAAAAAAAAGGAGCATCAATGCAATGGAACATGATGCAACCATAAATAATGAACATTACATAATATTAAACAAAAAGAACACAGTTTAAATTAGATAAGTATCAATACAAATACAGTTATGAATATACATGAGGAATAGCATGAGAAAATAAAAACCCCTAATTAGTGAGAAGAGATGCAGTGAAATGGGAGAATTTCTACTCATAACACAAATAATGGTAAAGGTAAACAAAACCAAAAGCAAATGCAAATTGAACACGAAAGAAACAAGCAAGCACTTGGCACACAGCAGGTGCACAAATAACTGTTGTTCTCCTTGAGTCTTCCCAAGACTGAGAAAAACACGTGGCAATCTTAAGTAGCGAAACAGAATTTGAACAGCAAAAGAGACCAGACTTGCTCACCTTGAACATGGTCATTTTTCCTCCTCTGGGGAATTTGCAGAGTTCTCAGTTATGCAGTTCAAGGGAAGACAGAATTGTGCCTGGAACGTGCCATGGAAAGCAATAAAAGAGACATGAAGAGGTGGTCAGGGATGCCGCCCAACAACATGAACATGCATTGTGAATTAGCACTTGAATGTTCACAGCAGCATTATTCATAATAACCCCAAATTGCACACAACCAAAATGCCCTCCTACAGGTAAATGGACAGACAAATTGTGGCCTATCCATACAATGAAATCTTACTTGGAAATTTAAAAAAATGAAGTACTGACTCATGCTATAACATGCATGAACTCGGAAACATGTTAAACAAAAGACACAAAAAGTCACAAAAAGCCATGGATTGTATGATCGCATTTATGTGAAATGTTCAGAATAGGCAAATGTATAATAGAGAAAGTAGATTCGTGGTTGCTTCACATTTGAGGTAAGAATGAGGTTTAACTGTAAATAGGCACAATGAGTCCAAACGTGAGATGAAAATGATCTAAACTGAATCGTGATGATGGTTATTCCACTTCACAAAATTCCTAAAAATCATTGAATTATATGCCTGAAATGGATGAAAGCTATATGTGAAATATATCTTGACAGAATTGGAAAAAATAATTGTTAATCTGCATGTCACTGAAATCAGTAAGAATGAATTCTAAGTCCATATCTATAGAATATTTATAGGTGAATAAAGGAATAAATAAATGGGGGAGAAATGGAAACTCATCTTTACAGTAGAATGTCCACTAATAATGTATCTCCCCATAAGAAACTTTATTATTTTCAAAATTTAAAAAAAGTAACTTCACAGTGGACAAATCTGAAAGACTTCATCTTGGCCAAGTGAACAAAAGTGAGATCACCAGTGAAGGTGAAGGGGTGGCCTGCCCCTCCACACCTGTGGGCGTTTCTCATTAGCTAGAAGGAGAGACTTGAGAAAAGAAACGAGACAGAGAAAGTCTATACAGAGACAAAGCATAGAGAAAGAAAAAGTGGACCCAGGGGACTGGCGCTCAGCATACAGAGGACCCACACTGGCACCGGTCTCTGAGTTCCCTCAGTATTTATTGATCATTATCTTTACCATCTTAGAAAAAGGGAAGTGGCAGGATAATAGGATCATCTAGGGAGGTCAGCAGTAAGACATATGAATAAAGATCTCTGTGACATGAATAAGTTTAAGGAAAAGTGCTGTGCCTTGATATGCCTATACAAACATCTCCATAAACCTTTTTAGTGCATAAGGAGCAGCATTGTCCCTAGCACATCCCACCTTTTGCCCTAAGGCGGTCTTCTCCCATCTTAGTAAATAGAACATACAATCGGGTTTTACACTGAGATGTTCCATTGCCCAGGGATGGGTAGGAGACAGATGCTTTTCTCTATCTCAACTGCCAAGAGGCCTTCTTTCCTCTTATATTAATCCTCCTCAGCACAGACCCTTCACGGGTGTCAGGCTGGGGGACGATTAGGTCTTTCCCTTCCCACGAGGCCATATTTCAGACTATCACATGGGGAGAAACCTTGAACAATACCTAGCTTTCCTAGGCAGAGGTCCCTGCGACCTTTGGCAGTGTACATGTCCCTGGGTACTTGAGATTAAGAGAAGGGTGATGACTTTTCACAAGCATACTGCCTTCAGGCGCTTGTTTAACAAAGCACACTCTGCACAGCCCAAAATCCGTTAAACCTTGAGTCACCACAGCACATGTCTCTTGCAAGGACAAAGTTGGGGGTAGGGTCACAGATTAACAGCATCTCAAATACAGAACAAAATGGAGTCTCTTATGTCTACTTCTTTCTATACAGACATAGTAACAGTCTGATCTCTCTTTCTTTTCCCCACAGAAGGGACAAACCAACATCATTTGGACACTGTTATGTTGCAATGAAAAGGACACCTCACTACTACTATGGTATCCCTACCAACCATGCATAATCTAAACCTAAACATGAAATTTATCAGATAAACCCCAAATGAATGTCTTTCTATAAAACAACTGCCTATACTCTTCAAAAAACCATGCATGTAAAAGACAAAGGCTGTGGAATCTTTCTAGATTAAAGAAAAGTATAGAAATGTGACAATAAAGACAATGCATAAAATTCAACTTTGAATGGGGCTGCAGGTAAAAAGTGGGATAGTTATAAGGACCAAAATTTAAAAACTGAACAAATTTAAATATGGAAGCTGCAGATTAGATAACAATGTTATGTAATATGGTATCCAACACTATCTAATAAATAACACTACAACTACTATTAGTCGCTTTTTAACAGATCTATCTGATATGTAATAGATAACAATATTATTTAATATAATATTTAATTATTTTTTTGCAACAGAGTCTCACTCTGTCATCCAGACCAGAGTGCAGGGGCGCCATCTCAGCTTACTGTAGCCTCTGCCTCCTGGGTTCAAATGATTCTCATGCATCAGCCTCCCTAATAGCTGGGATTACAGGCGCACGCCACCTCAAATTTTAAAAAAGTAACTTCACAGTGGACAAATCAGCTAATTTTTGTATTTTTAGTAGAGATGGGGTTTCTCAATGTTGGCCAGGCTGGTCTCAAACTCCTGGCCTTAAGTGATCCACTTGCCTCGGCCTCCCAAAGTACTGGGATTACAGCCACCATGCCTAGCTAGTATAATATCTAATAGTATCTAGCATGTTATGTGAAACCCTATAACCAGCCCTTCCTAAACACCTCTTACCAAGACACCCCACAATTATCTTGAAATGTGGGCTTCCTTGCTGCAGAAAGCTACAAGCAACTGTCTGGCTACAGGTATGTTCCTGGTGGTGTCTGGCTGAAGAGCAACAACAAAGCAAACAGGAAAAATGTAAACACGTGGCAAATTTGGGTAAAGAGTATATGAGAATTTCTAATACTATTTTTGCAACTTTTCTATAGGTTTCAAATGATATGAAAATAAAGTGTTAAAAACTTTTTTTTTTTTTTTTTGAGAAGGGCGTTTCGCTCTTGTTGCCCAGACTGGAGTATAATGGTGCGAGCTGAGCTCACCACAACCTCCACCTTCCGAGTTCAAGTGATTCTCCTGCCTCAGCCTCCCAAGTAGCTGGGATTACAGGCATGCACCACCATGCCTGGCTAATTTTGTATTTTCAGTAGAGATGGGGTTTCTCCATGTTGGTCAGACTGCTCTCAAACTCCCGACCTCAGGTGATTCGCCCATCTCGGCCTCCCAAAGTGCTGGGATTGCAAGCGTGAGGCACCACGCCCGGCCAATATCAGGAAACATTTACAAAAAAATTAGATAACAATGAGATAAATTAGGATGAGCATGATATAACATGGCAGTTCACTAGTTAATTTCCCTTTTGGCAGTGTTTCCAAATTTCCATAGTTAAACACACAAGGGAAAACACATTTTTTAAATTATAAAATTTTCTTTAAATGTTTATAAATAAATATGCAAATATACCAAAAGAAAGACTAAAAAGAAATGCATTCGAAGTTTAACAGTTACTATATTTACATGCTGTATTCATGGGTAATTATAAACTTGTACTACTCATATTTCTCCAATTTCTGAACGCTCCACAATGATACCGTTGCATAACAAGTGAAATACTTGTAACAAATGAAATAGTTGTAATGAATGAAATAGCTGACAAACTCCCAGAACAGTCCAAGCCCATAAGCCTTGCTCTCGAGGTCCCTTCAATCAAGTCCTAACTTGCTTTCCCCAACAGATTCCAGCCAGTTCCTCTGCCTCAATGAGAATGTATCCAAAAGATTATCAACTAAGGCTCTGACCTGTAATGCCCAGGTTTCAACGGCAGATCCACCTCTTACTACCTAGGTGACTATGCGCAGATAACTCCTGCTCCTTTGTATCTGACTCATCTTTAAAACGGAAAAAAGTAGTACCTCTCCACAGAGCCATGGTGTGGCGAAAATTTGATTATTTTTATAAAGCCCTTGGAATAAAGTTACCAATTGAGGCTTAATTATTATCACCACCCATGCCTGAGGACACATCCTACACTCTTGGTTGGGGTGAGCATCTCTGTAAAAGAAAAAAAGCCAAGGACCACTCACGTAGAGCTTTGGTAGCCAAGAAGTCCCTCCCTGCAGTTTTTGAGAATCAGGCTGGGGAAGGAGAAGGCTGTGAAACACCCTGACCGCGTTGCCGGCCCGCATAAAAGTTAAATGTTCCTCTCCCTTCGTGGAAAGTGGACACAACCCTCGCCTTCCTAAAAACAGGTCAGAAGCGTCCGGGATCACCCAGCGTCCTGCAGGAATCAGAGACAAGGGCGGGGGTCCCTGTAGCTGGAGCTCTGACCCCACCCGGGGACCTGACAGCCTTCGTGGGAAATTAACACTAAGAAGAGACCACCAGTCACTAAAGGAAGGACTGCTTTAAGGCCTTCATTTGTGTTACCTCTTCCAGTTCCCAAAACGATTTCATTAGGATGGTCCTAAAGTCCCCATTTTAAAGAACAGCAGTGGGAGGTACAGGGAGGTTAATAACATCCCAACCCTAAACTGTGAGAAAGTAGCCTCACAGGTGGGATGGAGGGAGGTGGGCTGAGCGAGCTGAGAGCCCCCAAAACCCTCAAACCAGGCGGCGTCCCAACCAAGTCCCAACCCCCAGCCTCATCTCCGGGGACGCGAGGACAACCCCAAGACCAAGAAGGCTCCGCGGACAAGAACGAAAAGAGCGGCTGTTGCACCTTCAAACCTCCGTTTTCCAACGAGGCTCCTTCTCCTCTTAGTCAACTTCCAGGTGGTTGCGAGCCCGCATCGTAAGGGGACATGTTGAGAAGGACCGACAAGACACACAACTGACACAAAACTACCACCGAAATGCACTGCAGCAACCTCACCCCCCGGGAGCGGAAGTGCCCCCTACTCGGCGCAGCGTGTGGACTACATTTCCCAGAATTCCCCGGATACGCCGCCCTGCGCCAACTTGCCCGTCATTCGACGGATCGCCGGCGCTACACTTCCTTGAATGCCAAAGGAGACGTTGTATATTATCACCCTCCAGCGGGAAGCCTGGAACTCCCCGGTGCTCTTTGACTAGACTTCCCGCAATGCCCACGAGGAATGAATTCCATATACCCGAGCGCCTGGTGAGGAATATGGACTGTGACCCTGAGAGTGGTCCTTCCCTTTCCCTGCGTCCTCGAGAGAAAATATTGAATAGACAGGAATTCCTGAAGTCTACACGCCTGCCATGATGACAGGAGTGTTACTGAAAGAGAACAAAGCAAGGAGATACAATCTTCAAGGAGTTAGCGGTCAGGAGATGGCTGAAAGGCTAATATACTAGACGCTAACAGTATGAGCTAAATCTAAGAGCTTAAATAATGGGCCAGGAAAAAATGGTTTGGGACAGGCAATTCCTGGGGCACCAGCCCCTGCTCCAGACACTGTTGTACCACTGCTTTGGCAAGAAAAACAACCACAGTTTAAGTGTTTATGAGGGCTGTAAGAATTAAAGAAAGAGAAAAGAAACACGAAAAGCGGCTCAACAGTCAAAGACAGGCTCGTTTTGGAGAATAAACCTGAGAGGGGCTTCTGGCCGATTGCCGTCAGGAGCACAGTCTCTTACAGACTAAGAGTATTGACTTTAGGGTGAGAGAGCTTATCACAGGCTTAGAATGTTTCTGTGTTGGGGAGAAGTCTGTTGTGGGGTTGGAATATCTCTGGTTGGAGGGGAGGTTATCTTGGGACTGACATCTCTCCAGTGGAAGGGAGGTTATCTCAGGGCTGGCATGTCTCTGGTCAGGGAGGGGTTTATCTTATGGTTGGAATGTTTCTGGTTGAAGATGTCATTTATGGTTTATGGTCATGCCGACCTTAGCCATTAGGCTGATGCCCTTTGGATTTAGGCAGTTTTTGATCAAGGTGAACTTTAAAATGGCAGTGATTGTCCAAGATGGCAATGCTCCTGCCCTGTCAAGAGCCAATATGGAGGGCCAGTTGCCCTCCTGGAAAACCTATTTTCCCACTTTAAAGTTTTCATATTAATATTCTTTAGACGTGGAAACGCCACATTCCAGAGAAATTAAACTGCTTAGTATTGTGAAAGGAAAATATCTTGGGCCCCCAAAATCACTAAGGAAACCTCAAGCTGGAAATAGCTTAGGGCAAACCTGCCTCCCATTCTATTCAAAGTCACTCTTCTATCTGTCCTTGCTACTAGGGCCCTTCCATGACATGTGGGAATTATAGGAGCTATAATTCAAGATGAGATTTGGGTGGAGACACAGCCAAACCATATCAATGTGTGTAGATTTCTTATTTTCCATTATTACTTAAAAGAAAGCTTGTTTCTAACTCTTCTATGGTCATGTAACAACATATCCTAGAAATCACTTCATGTACAGTACATTCTTTTTAGCACTGCGTAAACTAGAAAATCCAGAAATAAATTTCTACACCTACAGTGAACTCATTTTCAACAAAGGTGCTAAGTATATATATTGGGAAAAGGACAGTCTCTTCAATAAATGGTGCCAGAAAAACATGATATCCACATATAGAAGAATGAAACTTCACCCCATTGTTCACCATATACACAGATAAAATCAAAATGGATTAAAGACTTAAATCTAAGACCTCGAACTATGAAACTACTACAAGAAAACATTGGGGAAATGCTCCAGGACATTAGTCTGGGCAAAGATTTCTTGAGTAATACCCCAAAAGCATAGATAACCAAAGCAAAAATGGACAAATGGGATCACATCAAGTTAAAAAGCTTCTGCATAGCAAAGGAAACAATCAACAAAGTGAAGAGACAACCCACACAATAGGAGAAAATATTTGCAAACTATACATCTGACAAGGGATTAATAACCAGAATGTAAGGAGCTCAAACAACCCAATAGGAAAAAATTTAATAATTCAATTTAAAAATGAGCAAAAGATCTGAATAGACATTTCTCAAAAGAGGGCATACAAACGGCAAACAGGTATATGAAAAGGTGCTCTACATCATAGATCATCAGATAAATGCAAATCAAAACTACCGTGAGATATCATCTCACCCCAGTTAAAATGGCTTTTATTCAAAAGATAGACAATATCAAATGTTGGTGAGGATGTGAAAGGAGTGAGGAAGGGAATCCTTGCACATTGTTGGTGGGAATGTAAATTAGTACAACCACTGCGGAGAACAGTATGGAGGTTCCTCAAAAAATTAAAACTGAAACTACCATACAGTCCAGCAATCCCACTGGGTATGTACGCAAAAGGAAGGAAATCAGCATATCAAAATGATATCTGCACCCTCCCCTGCAATGTTTATTACAGCACTATTCACAATAACCAAAATTTGGAAGCAACCTAACTGTCCTTCAACAGATGAATGGATACAGGAAATGGACATATACACAATGGAGCCACAATTCAGCCACAGAAATGATGAGATTTTGTTATTTGCAACAATATGGATGGAACTGGAGGACATTATGTTCCGTGAAATAAGCCAGGCACAGAAAGGCAAACTTCACATGTTCTCACTTATTTGTAGGAGCTAAAAACTAAAACAATTGAATGCATGGAGACAGAGAGCACAATGTTAGTTACCAGAGGGAGGGAAAGGTAAGGTTAGTGGTGAGGGAAGTGGGGATGGTTAGTGGGTACAAAAATATACTTAGATAAAATGAATAAGATCTAGTATTTGATAGCACAACAGAGTTACTACAGTCAACAATAATTTATTGTACATTTAAAATGACTAAATGAGTATGGATTGTTTCTAACACACAAAAATGATAAATGCTTGTAACAGATACCCCATTTACCCTGATGTGATTATTATGCATTGTATGCCTGTATCACATACTCTATATGTGTACCCATAAAAATTAGAAATTTTTTAGGCTGGGTGCAGTGGCTCATGACTGTAATCCCAGCACTTTGGGAGATTGAGGTGGGCAGATCACTTGAGTGCAGGAGTTTGAGACCAGCCTGGGCAACATGGAGGAACCTCATCTCTACAAAAAAATACAAAAATTAACCAGAGGCAATGGCATGTGCCTGTAGTCTCAGCTACTCAAGAGGCTGAGGTGGAAAGATGGTTTGAGCCCAGGAGGCCACCACATCCAGCTAGTTGTATTTTTAGTAAAGACAGGGTTTTACCATGTTGGCCAGGCTGGTCTTGAACTCCTGGCCTCAAGTAAACTGCCCACCTCAGCCTCCCAAAGTGCTGGGATTATAGGCATGAGACACTGCGCCCAGCCCTTTGCCCATTTTTTTAACTGGGTGGTTTCTGTTATTGAGTTGTAAGAATTCTTTATATAATTTGGATAGAACTCATGCCATATGGTCTTTTCATGTTCTTGACAATGTTCATGTATGCATAGCATTTTTTAAAACTTAGGTCCCATTTTTGTATTTTTATTTGCTTTTGCTCATGTTGTTTCATTGAAGAATCCATTCCAAATAAAAAGGAAGATTTACTTCTATGTTTTCTTCTACGTTTACAGTTTAGCTATTACATTAAGTCATTGATGAATTTTGAGTTAACTTTTAAGTGTAGTGTGAGATACAATCTAACTTCATTATGTTGTGTGTCTGTGTATAGGTGTCACAGCAGTATTGGTTGAAGACTATTCTGTCTCCATAAAGTAATCTTGGATCTTTCTTTTTTTTTTTTTGAGACGGAGTCTCGCTCTGTCACCCAGGCTGGAGTGCAGTGGCCGGATCTCAGCTCACTGCAAGCTCCGCCTCCCGGGTTTACGCCATTCTCCTGGCTCAGCCTCCCGAGTAGCTGGGACTACAGGCGCCTGCCACCTCGCCCGGCTAAGTTTTTGTATTTTTAGTAGAGACGGGGTTTCACTGTGTTAGCCAGGGTGGTCTCGATCTCCTGACCTCGTGATCCGCCCGTCTCGGCCTCCCAAAGTGCTGGGATTACAGGCTTGAGCCACCGCGCCCGGCCTGATCTTTCTTGAAAATCAAGGGGCCTTAGATGTATGGGTTTCTTTATGGATTCTCAATTCTATTCCATTTATCTATATGACTGCCTCCTGGGTTCAAGTGATCCTCCCACCTCAGCCTCTCCAGTAGTCTCCAGCTGGGACTACAGACATACACCACCACAACTGGCTAATTATTGTATTTCTTGTAGAGGTGGGGTTTCTGATGTTCACTGAGAAATCTAAAACTAATGCATACAATTATAAAATAGAAAAATTCCAGCAAATATTCATTGCTGAAGAAAATAAGAATATAAGCCGGGCGCGGTGGCTCAAGCCTGTAATCCCAGCACTTTGGGAGGCTGAGATGGGCGGATCACAAGGTCAGGAGATCGAGACCATCCTGGCTAACACGGTGAAACCCCGTCTCTACTAAAAAATACAAAAAGCTAGCCGGGCGAGGTGGCGCCTGTAGTCCCAGCTACTCGGGAGGCTGAGGCAGGAGAATGGCATGAACCCGGGAGGCGGAGCCTGCAGTGAGCTGAGATCCGGCCACTGCACTCCAGCCCGGGTGACAGAGCGAGACTCCGTCTCAAAAAAAAAAAAAAAGAAAAAGAAAATAAGAATATAATTGTAACACATTATGTATGTACACTCAAAAAAAAAAATTCCAGAAAAACAGATATGCTTGTCCAGAAATACACAAAGGTATTTATTTAATTTTTTTTTTTTTTTTTTTTGAGACAGGGTCTCACTCTGTTGCCCTGGCTGGAGTGCAGTAGCACTATCATAGGTCACTACAACCTCAATCTTCCAGACTCAAGCGATGTAAGGATGCAGCAAAAATACAAAGACACGTGGCTGACATTCTAGGGGTCATCAATTTCGACATATTCATTAGTGTTTTGAAAGTGTGTGAATAAACTCTTATACTAAGGCCTGTCTCCTGAATAATAACTAATTGTCAGACTTCTGTTTGAAACCCTGCAGCACGACTTACAAGCATTCTCTGCTATGACAGTCCCATGACCACTGGGGTATGCTGAGCTATGGCTGAAACACTAACTTTAAACAAATGTTTTACTTCCCATAAGACCAGATGAAAACTATCAGCAGCATTGATTCTGTGATAAATGACAAGATATGAACTCACACTTACCACATGCCTCTTATTTTTAATGTTTCTCTCCTTTGTGAACTCTCACATGAGACTGTAGTGAGACTGAGTAGAGGCTTTATCACACACATAACACTACTAAGGTTTCTTTCCAGTGTGGACACTGATGAAGAGTTAAAGTCTGAATGAAGCACATACCATTCTGCCACACTTCCATGGTTTCTCTCCTATGTGAAGCCTCTGAGGCCTAATATTTCCAGTGATGTAGCAATCACACTACTGGGTATATCCAAAGGAAGGGAAATCAGTATGCCGAGGAGATATCTGCACTCCCATGTTCACTGCAGCACTACTCACAATAGCCAAGATACGGAACCCACCTAAGTGTCTATCAATAGATGAAGAAAAGGTGGCGCATATATATATATATATATACATACACACACACACACACACAATGAAATACTCTTTAGATATAACAAAGAAACAAAATTGTGTCACTTGTAGCAACATGGATGAGCTTTGGAGGACATTATGTTAAACAATATAACCCAAGCAAAGAAAGATAAATACCAACTGTCCTTACTCACATGTGGAAGCTAAAAAAAAGCTGATTTCATAGAAGTAGTGAGAACAATGGCTCTAGAGGCAGGGAAGGGTAGGGGATAGGTGGGATGGCCAAAGGTTGGCTAAAGGATACAAAAGTACAGGTAGATAGGAGGAAGTTCTACTGTTCTGCAGCACTAAAGGTGACTATCATCAACAACGATGTATTTTCAAATTGCTAGAACAACGAATTTTTAATTTTCCTAACACAAAGAAGAGATCATTGTTTGAGGTGATAAATATGCTAATTACACTGATTTGATCATTATACATCATATACGTATATTTAAATATCAAATTTTCCCCCTTAAATATGTACAACACTTACGTGTCATTTAAAAATAATGATAAAATTATATCAAGATTCAAGCGCCTCTTGTAGCGCTTCCCACAGTCCTCACATTTGGATGGATTTTCTCCACTGTGGTCTCTTGGTTGGTCTTTACGGTATGACCGGTGTACAAGCTTCTTTCCACAGTCCTCACATTTGAATGGTTTTTTCTGGCAGTGGAGTCTCTTATGATTCAAAATACTTGAGGCCTGTCTAAAGCTCTTCCCACAGTCATCACAGTTATAAGGTCTCTCTCCTGTGTGCGCTCTATGGTGCAAGTCAAGACCTGACTTAGTAATGTAGCTCTTCCCACACTTGTCACATTTGTATGGCTTTTCTCCAGTGTGGACTCGCTGATGGATCAAAAGATATGAGGACCGTCTGAAGCTCTTCCCACATTCTTTACAATTATATGGTTTCTCTCCTGTGTGGATCGTCTGATGCTTACACAAATCCAGCCTACCGATGAAGCCTTTTCCATATTCCCCAGTGTTGTTTGGTTTCTTTCCTGTGTGGACCACACAATGCCTATTAAGACTTGACCTAAGACGGAAGCTCATACTACATATCTCACATTTGAATGGCTTCTCCCCTGTGTGAATTCTCTGATGTTTCTGAAGCTGGATATCATGAATGAAAGCCCTCCCACATGCCTCACAATTATAATGTTTCTCTCCCATGTGTAATTTGCAATGAACTGTAAGTGCTGATCTACATCTGAAGCCTCTCCCACATTGTTCACATTTGAAAGGTTTCTCTCCAGTGTGGACTCTCTGATGAGTTTGCAGATGTAAACTCTGACTGAATTCCTTACCACACACGTCACACTTAAAGAGTTTCTCTCCCAGGTGGACTCTCTGATGAATATGAAGTGCTGAGATGTAACAGAAGCTTTTTCCACACTCATCACGGGAATGAGACTTCTCTGCTGAGTGTATTTGCTGAGGAAGATCAAAGATGGAAACATCACTGAAGGATGGTTTACACTTCCCATGATTGGAAGGTTTCTGTCCTGTATGCATTATAGATAGTCCTTCCTCAACCTGGGAGTGGGCATCACCCTGTTCAAAGAACTGAGAGCTATTTGTGGTAGAGTCTTGAGGCCTGGTTAAATCACTTGCAATTTCTTCCCAGATCTGCTGGCAGGACAACCCTTCATGTGGTCCTGCTTCTGGAACAGTCTTCATCTCAGGTTGGATCTTGCCTCCTATCAGAATACAAAATTAAGAGATCAGGACAAGCTATGCCCTGTTCAGTGTTTTTAAGAGTTCACACTTAGGACATGGTATGAAACTTCAATGAACATTCAGTTTTTGTTTTCCAAGTGCACCCTGGTTTCTGGTTTGCATGAGAGCAATCTAAAACCATACCATGTTGCCGGGCACAGTGGCTCACACCCACAATCCCAGCACTTTGGGAGGCTGAGGCACTTTGGGAGGTTGAGGCCTGCGAATCACTTGAGGTCAGGAGTTCAGGACCAGCCTGACCAACATAGTGAAACCCTGTCTCTACTAAAAATATAAAAATCAGCCAGGTGTAGTGGAATACACCTATAATCCCAGATACTTGGGAGACTGAGGCAAGAGAATTGCTTGAACCCAGGAGGCACAGGTTGCAGTGAGCCGAGATTGTGCCACTACACTCCAGCCTGGGCGACAGAGTGAGACTCTGTCTCAAAACAAGAAGGAAAGGAAAGGAAAAGAAAAGGAAAAGGAAAAGGAGAAAGAAAGAACGATACCACATCTCAAATATAAAATCCTTGATAGAAATAAAAAATTAATATGACACATACATTTAACCTGTTACTATTAAAATTTCCAACTCAGTCTGAAATCTTACATGATAAATTACTAAACTATTATGTACATAATGAAATATGAATCAAAAGGAACTCTAAGGCAAAGCAGTAACAATAAATACTTTGTATATTTACCTGTATATTGTATTTCCTTATAAAGAAGTTAACCTTCCTTTTTGTATGAGGTGGCTTAAAAAACATTTTTAAAAATAAGAAAAGAAGTTAACCTAACTAAAAAAAGGTTGGGACTTTGTCCTCAGTAGCTGAGAGATAATCTGTAGGATCTTGAAGGGGCATGCCTGAGGAAAGTGTCTCTGTTTGCTTGGGGGCAAATCTTGGGTAACTCTTGATAGTGAAATAATATAATTTAGGGTTGTGACTAGCCACAGCTTTGGGGGATGGGAAATGGCAGGTGGAATTCCCCATATCAGAAAAAATAACAATGTGATTTAACGTGGGGCTTTAGGTCACAGGGAACCAGTGGACCAAAAGACTAAATAACCACGAAGGAATCAACCAACCAATTATGGCTGTGTAATGGAGCCCCAATAATTACTCTGATCCCAGCACTCAGTTGACTTTCCCTGATTGGTAGTTCCCTGTGTCTAAGTCACATGCTAATTTTGGGTATGTAACATGCCCTACTCTACTGTGAGAATACAATAGGAGATCCACATTTGGTGCTTCACTGGACTCTGTCTTACTTGGTTTTCCCCACTGGCTAACTATAATATGCATATTTTCCCTGTAAATGTCAGTAACTGTGAGAATAAATGCATCCAGTGAGTTCTGAGAGTCTTTCTAGGAAATTATTGAAAGTGAAGGTAGTTTTGAAAAACTCCTGAATTTGCATTTGGAGTGAAGTGAGAGCAGTTCTCTGTAAAATGTCCCATTAAACTTTTTAGTTTAACCCTTCATGATACTAAACATCAAACACCTTAGAGTGTTTATATCTACAAATCGAAAGTATTCCTATGCAAGAATTTTGCACGACACGTATAAAATACTTAATCTTACTTTTCTGTTTTGATATGGACAGTAACTTGGTTATCTGAAAGAGTACAGACAACTGCAGTTCTGAGGGGAATCTGAAAGGCTGTCCTTCCAGGGGTCCACAAAGGAGGATGCTCTTGATCAGACAATCAATGATGTGAAGAATCACTTGGAATGAAAAGAAAGCCTATAATGTAGATAAACAGGCCTTTATAACTTTTTATATTCAAGACTACATATCAGTGAGCTGAAATAAAGTTAAAACCTGCAATAGACATTTATAGAAAGGAACCAGAATGAAAATTATCACAGCGTGGAGACAAGCAGGAAAGGTATCGTTAATGAAATGTCAGCTAGTCACTCACATACATCTACACGCATGAAAAATGTCCAGGTTATACTGAAAGGTGTTTCTTACTATGGTTCATGCTCACAAAATGTTCAAACCTTTGTCAGGATATTACCAAGTCCTGAATCAGGTAAATTTTTCTGATGGAGAGTTAAGTTCCAAAGGTTGAATCTTGGAAAATATTAACAGGTAAGTGGATACCTATCGGTGTACAGTGGTGACAGAGAAGGGCTGGGCTCCTGGCCAAACTCCACTCTTAAGCCTAGAACCTCGGCCCTAAGTGGAAACAGATGACCCCATTTTTCTGCCCAAATGTTGCTTTTTTGGCCTGCCTGCCACTATCCTGTGCCCATAAAAGATTTCAGCTGGCAGAGCAACACAAGCAGCTGAGTGGCAAGGATACAAGTTGCTGAGCAGTAAGCAGAGAAGCAACTGAGTGTTGGAAACTATAGATAGATCTGGCTAACTTCAGAAGGTGTGGCTTTGGAGAGCGTTCTAGCCACAAATGGCCTGGTTTCAGAAACAGATCACTTTCCCATCCCCTTTCCAGCCTCCTTTTCTGCTGAGAGCCACCTACTGCTCAATAAAGTCTTCTTTATTCATTACCTTTCACACAGTTCGTGTGACCCGGTTCTTCCTGGATGCTGGACAAGAACCCAGCTGCCAAGAGGGCAGGGGCAGCTACTCTGAAGCTCCACTGAGCTGGCTGGCACTTGGCCATCCCCAGATGGCAGAGCTGAAACAGCACGGGTTGTAACATGCTTGGACACTGCTGTGGGGCATGCACAGAGCCTGCTCCCACCAGAGAGGAGCGACCAGCCAATTCCAGCATTCATTTGCTCCAGTTCTGGCACTCGCTTACTTGCATGCTCTCTCCCGCAAGGAGTGGACAGCGGAGGGCTGAGTGAAACAAACCCTGCAGTTTCCGCCCACAAAGACGGTCAAGGGAATAATCCTCTCATCAGTACAGGGATATATTTAATACACTGTGACTTATAAATAAGAGGTCTTTAAGGAGAAGGGAAGGTCTCTCAGGATGTTTCTATTTTGAGAAAGTAATTCCCCAATTCCTTCCAGGTCATACCGCTTACCAGTTCAAAATATACCAGTTCAAAATAAATCTATCAAAATAAACAAAAAGCCTGTAAAATCTGTGTCCTTTTAACTTTTTGACAATTAAATTTGCATAATGTAAAGATGAGGAAATATACACATTTTTGAAGAAAGATGACCAGAAACAGAGTCAACATTCAGCTACATAACTTGCGTCTTCTCATCCTCATTCTTCCCCCTCTAAGGGAAGGAAGGAGGAACCTGGGGGCAGTGAAGTGCAGACCGACTTTGGAAAAGGCAAATGGGCTGCAAATGGGTAAATCTTTCAAAGGAAATGTAGCTGGAAATCCTCATTCAAAAAGACTTTCTTCCCAGATATAAATGTGCTCCCTATGGAAAGCTCCAGGGTAGGTCCCAGGGAAGGCATATTACTCAGCGTGGTCATGAAAAAAAATGCTATGCTTAGAAGTTTCCACAGGACATGGGTTAACTGCACACACATAAAACCAGTCATGTCAAGGAAACCTAAGAAAGTTGAAAATGGATAAGCAGTCATCCACAGAGGAAAAAAAAAACTGTTCTGCAATATATAATCAGCCCTCCATATCCATGGGTTTGGCACCCATGGATTCAACCAACAGTGCTTAAAAATTATTTAGGGAAAAAAATTTCAGTTCCAAAGAGCAAAACTGGAATTTCTCACAAACTAAATCCTATGTTGAATCCTTGTGAATGAAGTGACAGGTAGGCATTGCATTTGGTATTATAACTGGTCTAAACATGATTTAAAGTATATGGGAGGATGTACATAGGTTATAGGCAAATACTCCACATATATCAGGAACTTGAACATCTCTGGCTTTCGGTATCCATGTGGGGTCCTGAAATCAAATCCCTATGGCTTCCAAGGGACTAATATATTTCATTCACTCTGGTTCATGTATTACTTATTAGCTAGCTCCATGATTCCTACAGACAGTGAAGTCCCCCCATCCATTAATTCATTCATCAGGATACCAGATATTTATAGATCCCTCCATGTACTAGAACTATTCTAGGCACTGAAAATGCAGTCATAAACAAACAGATAAACACCTTGTAGAGATTATATTTGAAAGGGAATAGGTGATCTACCAGTAAACAAAAGCATATGACACACAATACTTGCAGGCCAAGTAAAGATAGGATGGTATTTTCAATAGGGTGCTTGAAGATGACCTCTCCCATGATAGTAAAACTCAGCAGAGACCTGCATAAACTAAAGGAGGGGGTCAGTAAGTTTTGTGGGGACAGAGGATTCCAGTCAGAGACAAAAGCAAGTGAGGGCTCTGTGGCAGAAGCTTCTGTAGTAGGGAACATAATTGTTCCTGAAAGATGTCTACATCCAACCTTCAGGACCTATGAATCTGAAACATTACACAGCAAGGCAGATTAAGGCTGCAGATGTCATTGAGGTCACTAATCAGCTAAGCAGAAAGTAGGAAAGTCAACTTGGATCATGCAGGAGTGATGAATACAATCACAAGGGACCTGAAAGGTGGAAGACATAGGCATAAGAAGAGTGGCAGAGGGAACGTGGCTCTGGAAGAATGGTCAAGGATGCAATGTAGCTGCCTTCAAAGATGGAGGAATGGAAACTAGAGCCAAGGAATGTGGACAGTGTCTAGGGACTGGTAAAACAAACGAAGACTTCTCTCCGTGAACATCCAGAAAGGAACAAAGCCCTAAGACAGCTTGATTTTTGTCCAGTGAGATGTGTTACACTTCAGGCCTAAAGAAAAGAGAAATAATAAATGCTTCTTATTTAATCATCTAAGTTCGTGGTCACTGGGTACCAGCAACAGGTGATACAGTGTACTTGGCAGGATGGAGAAACAAGAGGGATGACAAGGTGGCCAGAAAAGATAGAGAAAGAGGGAGAGTATGGGAGATGTAGTGAAGAGGCAGTGAAGAATGAAGAGTAGACCACAGGGGTTTCTAGAAGCCACTTAAAGAGGCTTTCATAAAAAAAGGAGGCCGGAATGGCTCTTAAGCTGAGGAATGACAATCTGACATCCAGGTCCTAAGGATCACTTTAGCCGCCATGAGGAGAACAGATGTCAGGGTGGGAAGGCACGGAGCAGGGCCACCAGCTGGAAGGAGGTTATAATAATCCAGGAAAGATGTTTGGCCATTTAGAACAAGGTGATGCAGCTGAACACGCACAGAAGTAAAACAGATGGAAGTCACAAACAAGGACACACAGTTGCTTGCTTCTTACCTGAATTCCCTTCTCTCTGGGTTGCTATATCCATCATCCAAAACTTTTCCTCCCTTAGAAAGTGGAAAGTATCTCGGTGGAATGGTTGATGCCCTGTAAACAGGCAAAATCACATGCTTAATCCCAACATATTCTAGATAATATCAGGGTAACACTTACTGGAAATTTAGGTTCCCACTGCACACTTAAACTTGAACACCCTAGGATACAAAACCACTCCTGGGACCTGACATTCCCTTATAGAAGATGCCTGTCCTCACCCACTGACAGCAGGTTCCTGAAGTTCTCCAGCATCACATCTCGATACAGCTTCCTCTGGGCAAGGTCCAGCAGCCCCAGCTCCTCCTCAGTGAAGACCACCACCACATCCTTGAAGGTCACTGCCTCCTACAGCATCAAACATATGCAACCTCAATCTCACAACCAATGGTTACTGGGAGAGAAGCAACATTGAGGAGGTCAAGGGAAAAAATGGAAAGCTTTTCTGGATCTTCAGAGATGTAGGTCAACTTATAGAATTCCCATTCATTCTAGTCTGTGTCCTGACAATGACACACATTGATTGTCCCAAGCGTCATCAGAAGTCCAACGATGGAGAAGTGCTGTGGTCTTATTTAGTGAACTCATTGAGTTTACTGGTATGTAGCCCCCCTAGGAGTCTAAATGCTGCATCCTGGGCTACAGGTATATAGGTTTCAATGAACCTTGCTAATAGTCCCAGCAACAGTGAGCAATTCAGTCAGTATCTGCCCAACCTGGCAGCCGGTTGATGAGGCTGTGGCTGTGAAACCCCAATCTCAGTATTCCCAATAATTATTTTTCCTTTTCCCCTTTATAGTGCACATCCTGTTGGTAGTTTGTGGTTCAGATCACCACAGTAACTGACAAAGGTCCTCCTGACTCTAATCTGGAGGTGATGCTTCCCTGAACATCCCCTGACTTCTACAGGATCCCACAGTGGTGAAGAATGAGACCACAGAACACTGTAGGGGGTATCAGGGTCCTTCTGATGGTACTGGGGACACCTGATCCTCCCATTTGGGTGGCTGGCACTATCAGGCATATCTTTTTGTACAGGACATGACCTCCTTCCTGACTGAACAACTCAGGCAGGAAAGTCTTGGCCAAAAAACCAGGGGAATGGATGTCTACAGTGGTAGTAGCCTCAGGACAGGGACAGACTGGGTCGCTACACCACCTCAGCCAGCCCCCTATCCAACAGGTATTAATCTGCTGTTTCCCCAAGGGTGTGGCAGCAGAGGCCTGGAAGCACAGCACATTCCTTAAGTTATCTCAAGCTGCAGTCACCTTATGTCACCTGGTTAAGTGTTCCATCTGCTACCCTGGATTTATTCTATCACCAACCACAGTGACCCTCTCATCCTGACCATGGTAAACCACACCAGCATCCCTCATGCCACAGTGCACACCAACAGCTCCATAACCCTGGCTTGTCAAGTCAGGACCTGGCACCTGCCACATGAGAGAGAGCTGGAGGGCCCAGTGGTAACTGGTGTAAGGCAACAGAATCACACAACCTCAACAAAGCTACAGTGGACTGTGCTTGCTCACACCATGTTCCTTTGACTACCTGGATGAGAAATGTTCCATATAATGAAAACCAGAACTGGATGAGTGGCATTCCTCTCTGTAAGGGCTGCATGAACGTCATACGCGGGGAACTGACCTTATGCAACTGTGCCAAAAATGAGCTCTGGCTGGCAAAAGATAATGTCCCCATTCCCACAAATGGGTCACAGAACAGCCAAACAAGGGCATGGGTGTTGTGTGCACCTGAGCCTTATGGCTTTCTCTGTGGATGGTTTGGAGGGTGACCCAGATACAGGGTGGCTATGTCATGCCTGGAAAGCTGGCAGACTGTTAGATCCTAAACATTGGGCATGCCGGGGGTGCCCCTAGATCTCACCCTGGGAGCGAGATGTACCACTGGGCAAGAAGGCTAAAGCTGTGCCCCAGGCTGACTGGGGACCTGCCTGGAGTTGTAGCTAGCTTCCAGATTTATGTTCTACACCTACAAGTCAATTCCCATGAAAAATGGTGAGACACCTGTCACAGACAGTGGTCGATAGATACTGCTTCTTCCACGGCCACTGCCTCGGGAGCCCAGCAACATCCCTTCACTCCCTCAGGAAGGTTCAAAAAACACAAGTGCTCTGTGCTTTTAGCCCTACTGGGAGGAGTGGGTCTGCGACTGCCAACACCTCCGGTCTTCTCTGGATACATAGCTACTGTAAAAACTCAATGAGAGGCAACCCAGAAGCAGGCCCACTGGCTTCAGACACTGGGGCCATCTGAATGATTCTTCTTTGGTATCTTCAGCAGCTTCTTATTTTGGTAACTGGGACCCAGGCAGGATTGCTACTTCAGGAAGGTCTGGCCGTGCTGCTTGTGGTCAGGCTCCTCTGGGGTCCATGGAATGTATTCCAGCTATAATTCCATGAAGTTGGCAGAGATTGTGTCAGTCAAGGTATTACACTGATCTAACAAGATCAACCAACACCTCCAGGCCTAGGGAGGTCGATGGGCACATGAAATGGACCAGTTGGCTAAGGGGGATATCTAGGTCAGGGGATGGACTGCAGGACAGTTGTAGGCAAACATGTCCGAGGTCACATGGTTAGAAATGGGCAGACTCAGTTCTCTCCCCTTTCTTCCTTGCAGTTGTCAAGAATAACTGTAGATTATTCTAGGAATGCAGTATTATGGGGAGGAATTAACTGCCTTTGACAGTCTAGGCTTTGTTCCTCTCTCACCTGGAAGCAGGATGTCCTTCAAGTTTTTCTCCACGAGTCATGGCACCCTGAAGTATATAAACAAGGGCAGGTTACCTTCTGGGGTGCCTCAGCTCTGGTGCAAGTGGGGCACATACAGTCAAGATTCCATCTGCTCAAGGTAGCTTTCTTGAGCCCTGGATGGCCGGCTCACAGTGGACCCCAGGCTTCTGGGCTCCCTTATTGCCAATCTGTAGTCATAAATCTGCTTCATGTAATCTGCTACATGTGAGTGTGTTCTGTCCCACAGGACTCACACGAGTTGGTAAACAGTGCACAGTGAACCTGCTCCATGGTACTCGGTGTGAGACAGCTATGTAGTGTGTCTTCTGCACTTGCAAGGCACAAACCACATATGCTTATTGCAGCATTTAGTGTCCTGATCAAAAGCCAGTATGCCTCAGTACACAGCCTAAGAGTCTGCCCTTTTCTAACCATGTGACCTCGGACATGTTTGCCTACAAGCCTTGCTCCCTCTGTGAATAATAGTTCTTATATGACAGAGTTTCAAGAATTAAGAAAGGAAATATACAGTATTTTGAAAAGTCTATGGCACAGACTAAGTGTTTAATGAACACTAGCTAGTATTACTTATTACTGTTTATTACCATTATCTATTTCAGGGTTCCACAGTATTCCAGGGAACTGATTATCTATTTTTAGCTACACTAAAGAATAAATATTTTTACATATTTTCCATTATCAATCCTGCAAAGATAATATAATAAGTAGTAAGATGTAAGAACATCTAACTCTCCTGTCTCATTTAAAATAATTTCATGTGAAAATTAAAATGTGAAAAATAACCACATTTAATATTATCATCATATAATGGCATACTTTCGTCTCACTTTTTTCCCTACCTCTCCAATCGATACCCTAATTCTCCTTATCATGGCCAAGGGTAGTTTATAAATATTCCCATGGTTTTGGTAATCTGATTAGGAAGAACAATTCATTGTATTATTCTCACTTATTATTATAAATGAATACCATCACTTTTGCCATCTCTATTTCTTCTTTTACAATTGCCTTTTGGTGTTCTTTGTTCCAATCTGTTTGAACTATTTTCTTTATCCTTTTAGAAGATTCTTATTCTGGATTTATTCTTCCTTAACTATCCAAGGGGTAAATGTCTTTGCCCCAGGTTGTCATTTTTTTCCAGTAACAATGCGTGAGGCGGGCTGGGCGCAGTGGCTCACGCCTGTAATCCCAACACTTTGGGAGGCCGAGGCGGGTGGATCACGAGGTCAGGAGATCAAGACCATCCTGGCTAACACGGTGAAACCCTGTCTCTACTAAAAATACAAAAAAAATTTAGCTGGGCGTGGTGGTGGGCGCCTGTCATCCCAGCTACTCGGAAGGCTGAGGCAGAAGAATGCCGCGAACCCGGGAGGCAGAGCTTGCAGTGAGCTGAGATCACGCCACTGAACTCCAGCCTGGGCAACAGAGTGAGACTCTGTCTCAAAAACAAAACAAAACAAAACAAAACAAAAAAACAATGTGTGAGGCATCTTGTGCCATAAGAAGGAGTTTAGAGATTTTTAAGAACACCTGTGGTAATCACTGTCCTTGGGTACTTGGAACGATGAATACACCTGAGTAGATGCCAGGAAAAGAAGAAGTCACACCAACGCAGGACAAAGAGAAGCAGCGCCACCTGTGGATGTCATCACTCAAGGGAGCACTCCAGACACTCACACAACAGGGCACCACACCCTCAATGGAGAATTTTTCTCTTTCACTTGAGCAGAATGGCTAAGATTCCTGATCCTTGATTGCCTCTGTGATTTTTTGCAGGTTTCTCATATTTCATGAGTTTAGGAGAAGAGAACAGGAACCTCCTCATTCTGCTGCTCTGAGAAGTAAATGCGTGACAGTACACAAGTGACTGGCCAATCTTCAGTATTACTAGACTTTTTTTTTTTTGAGATAGAGTTTCACCCTTGTTGCCCAGGCTGGAGTGCAATGGCCCAATCTCAGCTCACCACAACCTCTGCCTCCTGGTTTGAAGTGATTCTCCTGCTTCAGCCTACCGAGTAGCTGGGATTATAGGCATGCACCACCACGCCCAGCTAATTTTGTATTTTTAGTAGACTCGGGGTTCTCCGTGTTGGTCAGACTGGTCTCGAACTCCCGACCTCAGGTGATCTGCCTGCCTCAGCCTCCCAAAGTGCTGGGATTATAGGCGTGAGCCACCGCACCCGGCCCAGTATTACTAGACATTTTAAATGAAGGCTTTCTGGCTGGGTGCGGTGGCTCATGCCTGTAATCCCAGCACTTGCAGAGGCCGAGGCGGGCAGATCACTTGAGGTCAGAAGTTCGAGACCAGCCTGACCAACATGATAAAACCCCATCTCTACTAACAATACAAAAATTAGCCAGGCGACAAGAGATCATCAAAGTCCTGTTGTTCTCCTTGAGTCTTCCCAGGACAGAGAAAAACACAGAACAATCTGAGTAGTAAGAGGGAATTTTAACAGTAAGAGAGGAAAGCCCTACTCACCTTGGACGTGGTCATTTTTCCTCCTACTTTAGGGAATTTGCAGAGTCCTGAATGATGCAGTTCAAGGGAAAGCAGAATTGTGCCTGGAAAGTGCCATGAAGACAGAAAAAGAGACATGAAAGGGTGGTCAGGGATGTCACCCACCAACAAGGACTCATAGTTTCAATTAGCACATGAATGCTCACAGCAGCATTATTCATACTAACCCCAAATTGCACACAACCAAGAAGCTCTCCTATGGGTAAATGGATAGAAAAATTGTGGCATATTCACACAATGGAATCTTATTCGGAAATGTAAAGGAATGAAACAATGAGCCATGCAGCAACACCCGTGAACCTTGAAAACATTACAGTAAGTGAAAGAAGCAAGCCACAAAAACCCGCAGACCCTACAATTCCATTTACATGAAATGTCTGGAATAGACAAATATATATAGAAAGTAGGTTAGTAGTTGTTCTAAAGTTGAGGTGAGAATGAGGTTTAAAGTAAATGGGCATGAGTTCAACTGGGGGATGAAAGTGATCTCGGCTGAATTATGATGATGATTACTCCACATCAAAGTTCCTAAAGATCACTGACTTGTACACCTGAAATGGGTGAATGCTACAACTAAAATAAACCTAGAGTTAAATAACTGTTAATGCACATATTATTAGAATCAATAAGACTGGATTCTGAGTCCATATTGATAGAATATTTATAGTTGAACACATCAGTGAACCAATAGAGGAGAAATGGAAGCTCTTCTTTACAAGAAAATGCCCACTAATAATGTGTTTTCCCATAAGAAGCTTCATAATTTAAAAAAAAGTAACATAAGAGTGGACAAATCTGAAAGACATCTTCTTGGCCAGTGACAAAGCTGAGATCACCAATGAAGGGACAAACGAACATCACTTGGACCTTGTTATGTTACAATGAAAAGGGCATCTTAATTCACCATTGTACTCCAGCCGGGGTGACAAAAGCGAAACTCTGTCTCAAAAAAAAGAAAAAGATAAAAAAAAGAAAAAAAAAGAAAAGAAAAGGGCATCTCAGCACTCCTGTGGAATCCCCACCAACAATGTATAATCTGAACCTAAATGTGAAATATATCTGTGGGGGAAAGAAAGAGAGATCAGGCTGTTACTGTGTCTACGTAGAAAAAGGAAGACATAAGAAACTCCATTTTCATCTGTACTAAGAAAAATTCTTCTGCCTTGAGATGCTATTAATCTGCAACCCTAACCCCAACCCTGTGCTCGCAGAAACATGAGCTGTATTGACTCAAGGTTTAATGGATTTAGGGTTCTGCAGGGTGTGCTTTGGTAAAAATGTGTTTGCAGGCAGTATGCTCGGTAAAAGTCATTGCCATTCTCCAGTCTCAAGTAACCGGGGACACAATACACTGCGGAAGGCCTCAGGAACCTCTGCGCAAGAAAGCCTGGGCATTGTCCAAGGTTTCCCCCCACTGAGACAGCCTGAGATATGGCCTCGTGGGAAGGGAAAGACCTGACTGTCCCCCAGCCCGACGCCCATAAAGAGTCTGTGCTGAGGAGGATTAATGAAAGAGGAAGGCCTCTCTGCAGTTGAGATAAGAGGAAGGCATCTGTCTCCTGCTCGTCCCTGGGAATGGAATGTCTTGGTGTAAAACCCAATCATACATTCTATTTACTGAGATAGGAGAAAACTGCTTTATGACTGGAGGTGAGACATGCTGGCAGCAATACTGCTCTTTATTGCACTGAGATGTTTGTGTAAAGTCACACATAAATCAGGCACAGCACCTTTCCTTAAACTTATTTATGACACAGAGTCCTTTGCTCACATGTTTTCCTGCTGACCCTCTCCCCACCATTACCCTATAGTCCTGCCACATCCCCCTCGCCAAAATCATAGAGATTGTGATCAATAAATACTGAGGAAACTCAGAAACCAATGCCGGTGCAGGTCCTCACTTGCTGAGCGCCAGTCCCTAGGGCCCACTTTTCTTCCTCTATACTTTGTCTCTGTGTCTTATTTCTTTTCTCAGTCTCTCGTCTCCACCTTGCGATAAATACCCACAGGTGTGGAGAGGCACGCCCCCTTCAATATCAAACTCCAAATGAACAACTATGGAAATGTGACAGCTAAAGACAACGCATAAACTGGACTTTGAATAGGTGAAGGGTGGGGAGAGGACAGTCATAAGGACTTTAAGTGAAAAATTTAACAAATTCATATAGGGAACTGCAGATTAGATAACATGATGCTAGGCAATATGCTATCCAACACTATCTAGTAAGTACACTACAAATACTAGTATTCTTTTAACACATCTATCTGATACGTAATCGGTAACAGTATTATTTAATATAATATCCAATATTATCTACCACGGTATGTGAAGCCCTATAACCAGCCCTTCCTAAATGCCTCTTACCAAGACACCCCACAATTACCATGGTATGTGGGCTTCCTTGCTGCAGAAAGCTACCAATCAGCAGTCTCTGGTTACAGGTATTTTCCCGGTGGTATCAAAGCAAACAGGAAAAATGTAAACATTTGGCAAATTTGGGTAAAGAGTATATGAGAATTTCTCATACTGTTTTTGCAATTTTTCTATAGCTTTGAAATGATATCAAACGTTTTAAAATATCAGGAAACAAGAGACCACCACTCACCAAGTAACAGGGACAACTTTAAGGCTTTCATTTGTATTATCTCTTTCAATTCGCAAAACAATGTTAGGATGATCCTATATGCACCATTTTAAAGAACAGCAATGGGAAGTACAGACATTAAGTAACATTCCACATCACACTGCGAGAAAGAGGCCGCATACGTAGGGAGGCGGACTGAGCGAGGTCAAAGCCCTGGAAACCCTCAGAGCAGGGCACACAGGGCCCCCCCAAACCCACCCCCGGGGACGCCGGCACAGCCCCCCGACGCCAGAAGGCTCCACTGACGGGAACAATAAACACCCCGCCCTCGCACCTCTAAACCTCTGCTCTTCGCTAAGGCTTCTTTTCCCCTGAGACGATCATCGATCATCAGGTGGTTGCGAGCCTCAGGCAAAAGGGGCTCGTTCAAAATGTCCTGCAAGACGCCGGTCATTAAAGCAAGAATCTCAGGCTCGGAGACCGGAAGTGTCCTCTGCGCCAGAGTGTCTGGACTCCACTTCCCAGAATTCCCCAGACCCGCCCGCCTGAGCCAAAGGGCCAGAGACTCCGCAGAGCATCTGGACTATCCTTCCCAGAATTCACCGGACCACCTGCCAGAGCCAAAATGCCCGGTGTTTCACCAGCCAGTGGACTGCACTTCCCATAAAATGGACTACAATTCCCAGAAGTCCCCGGAAATGCCTACCTGAGCTAAAGTACCAGGAATCCCGCAAGGTGTCTAGATTGCAGGGCCTCGGATGCAAAAGGAAAATGTCCATTATCTCACCCTTTAGGCGCAAGTGTTTCGACTACATGGTGCTCCTCGATTACACTTCCCGCAACACCCAGGGGGAATGAGTTTCATAGCCCCAGGCGCCTGGTGGGGAATGTAGACTGTTACCCTGACAGTTGTCCTTCCCAGAGTTCTCGAGCGAAAATATTGAATAAACAAGAATTTGTGAAGTCTAAATGTCTCCCATGATTGACAGGAGTGTTCTTGGACAGGGAACAAGCGAGGAGATACAATATTCAAGGAGCTAGTGGGAGTGACTGTTGAGCAGTCAGATGGCTGAAAGGAGGCTCAGGGTTTAAAGCAAGGATATCCAACTCCAGGGCCACAGACCTGTACCGTTCCACTGCCTGTTAGGAACCGGGCGGCACAGCAGGAAGTGAGCGGCAGGTGAGGGAGCATTATGGCCTGAGCTCCACCTCCTGTGAGATCAGCCCAGCATTACATTCTCATAGGAGCGTGAAACCTATTGTGAACTGTGCGTGGGAAGAATGTAGGTTAGGCGCTCCTTATGAAAATCTAATGCCTGAGGTGGAACAGTTTCATCCCGAAACCATTCCTGGTGGAAAACCATTCCTGGTGGAAAAGAGTTTCATCCGGAAACCATTCCTGGTGGACCACAAAACCGGTCCATGGTGCTAAAATGGTTGGGGACCACTGGTTTAAAGAATGAGCCAGGTAGAATGGGTTGGGAGGGACAATGAGAAGCCAGGAAAGCATCAGCCCCTGTAACTGAAAAGTAGATTAGTGGCTTCCCGTTTGCAAAGTCCAGTTAACAAGAGGGAGATCTGGTATAAAGAAAGTTATTTAATCCAGAGCTAGTGTAGGGTAGGAAGCACAGGTGTTGTCTTTAAGTGTACTGCTTGGCTTTTAGAGCAGAAGGCAGGCACTTTTAAAAGGTAGGGGAGGAAGAGGGCAGGGGTCTGTGTGCTGGCTTGGTGCCTTATCTATTAGGCAGTTGAGTTGGCTTTTTCATGGGCAAAAACAAGTTGTGACCAGAAGGGAGAGAGTAGCAGGCATGCTTTCAACTGTTGTCTCTTCAGGCAACCTCCTGGTGGGTGAGAGTTCAGAGGCCAGCATGCTTTAGTTTATAAATCGACTGTTAATTCCGGAGGAGAGTTCTGGCTTGGAGTACATAGTTAGATGAACTTGCCCTGTAGGAAGTGTCTAGTGAAGGGGAGGTAAAAGTCTATATTTGCATTTTTTAAAGGGCTACGTAGGAAGTGGGAAACTAAGGAAATGAGAAAAGAGAAAGAAATCAATAAGCCGTCTCTTAGAAAAAATGGTGGTTCTCAGTTACACCCCTAGTCCAGATGCTGTGGTACCACTGGTTTAGCAAGAAAAACAAAATTCCAGCCATCAATGGAGAAGCTGTGTCCTCATGGAAAAGCTATCTTCCCACCTTTAACATTCTCATGGCAGTAATGTTTCTACTTTAGATATAGAAACACTAAATTTCAGAGAAGTTAGTGAATTGCTAAGTATCTTAAAGCAAGTATAACTGTTGAAGAGCTTGGCACTGGTATCAATCTGACACCCAATATCTATGGTTCAATGCCATAAAACTGGAGAAGATTCTGTAGGTGAGGGAGCATGATTTATTATTAAGAGTTTCCTGTTGGGCATGGTGGCTCACTCCTGTAATCCCAGCACTTTGGGAGGCTGAGCC